AAATGCGCTTCCACGGGGTCGGAGCTTTGGCCACTTCGCACTAAAGGTCTTCCGTTCCCCAATTCCTGTTCGGACGGCAGTTCTAGCCCCAGCACGCTACACAAAAAGTGTTTCAAGTCTGCATCCGTTCGACGGAGGATGTCATGAACAAACGGCAATCGATTTCTGTAGAAAGGACGGAGCCCTGGAGGTGCTGCAGCACACTTAGCTGATGCGTCGCCTCCACAAACATTGGATGCCTCAGGGTCCCACAGCAAGAAGTCAAATCGCATGGCGTCCACTAAAAGAATAAAAACGCGGTTATATGGCGTCACTGATACCCAAGACGACTGACAGAACCTCTCCAAACAAGCTTCAGGCTTGGTAGAAGCTAAGTCGACATTTGGATCTAGAAAGTCCTTCAAGTGCAGCGCTATTGGGACAGGAGTAAGAGAATCGCCCTGTTTAGGCAATGCAGGAACAGCTCGTGGAGTTCCTGGCGTATTCGCGATATAGTAGACTCCTTCATCTTTGTTCAGGTCAAGCTTAGCTGGGTCCAAATGGGGGAACAGTGGAGGAAACGGCAACTCGCGTCCATTGCTGACGTACGGCAAATCATCTCTTGAGAGAAAGAAACCATTAATAAAAAAAAGCGTACCAACAGAAACCAGTGTCAGACACAACCCAATGAGTAAAGCAAGTCGCCAAAATAAGTCTGCACGTGGATTCGGCGGGTGAGCGTCATCATGCGTTTCCAGTTCATCTCCGCTGAGTGAGCGCCGTCTGTGTGAAGCATTCAAGCGCAACCCTTCCCTCATATTTGCCTTGTTCATCTCCGCGCTCTGGTGCTGCACATGAATGCGCGTGTGGTCACTCTCCTCCCGGCGTTGAGTTAGCATGGCTACCTAGGAGGTTTCTTAAGGGAGCTGCCCCAAGACAAAAACCTTCACGTAAGCAGTGCTGTTCGTGTTTCAGTACGCATCAGGAGCATGTCGTAGAAGCAAACTTTGCTCCAAAATGAAAGACTGCACTCAAGGGAAGCGGAGCAATAGGCAAAATATGCGAGATGAAGCCACCTCTGGAGAGGTCCGATGCACTCACGGCAGCCACGAGTCACCGCCTTCGCCTCGAACCACCCAGATATAAATCACGGGTTGTGGGCAAGGAGCAGCTGATTCGTGAAATACTGCAGCCTAAAGTGCGCTGGCAAGGGGCGAAATGCAGCCCCAAGCGATCTATGAGCGGGCAAACGACAACCCACTAGGGGGCCCCTTGTCTCGCTCGTACTCGACGAAGCATTGTACCTCTCTGTTCAGCTTAAAGAGACAGTCATGCGGTGTGTAGCTGCGTCTCCAGGCAGATGATGGGACATTAGGCGATGCTGCATTCCCAAGGGACGCACCCGAAAGTGGTACTACGAGAAGTGAACAGCAACGCGACCGACTCCTGGCGGAAGGGATCGGGAACAACGCTACTCACAAGGCTCCTACCAGGACAAAAATAAATGCACATCCCTGGCTTATACCTGCAACAGCCTATTGTTTGTACAATAAACACACTGAACTGCATGCAGGCTGATTCGCAGATACAGTGTAGTGCTCGGTCGGCCAGTCAGAGCAGCGGGTGTTGTGGTAAGAAATAACAGTAGAAGAGAAACTATAAATAAGGCTATGTGTAAACAGTTCGCCGTAAAACCCTGGTTTGGGCGAATAGCCACCCAAGTGGTGGGTCAACTGGAGAGCACCAAGACCCTGGCACTATTGGGCTGGCGCCTGGGAGGGCCTTGAGCATACCAAAGATTTCAGCGAACAAATCTAGTAGGGAGGTGGAGTTTAATTTTAAAAACACGGAAGTTTGAAAGGTGTGTGTCCATGTATGCTTGCTAGCCTCCTGTAGAACCTGCACACTACGTGCTGTACTAACTGGTCCACGAAGGACAGCCGAGTTAGGAATCAGAGTGGGGTGCGTCTTTAGTATCTGCCAGCTTTGCATCGAGGATGAAAATTTTGAAGAGATTTCAAATAAGTTGCTAGATCTAATGCTTCGGAGAATTTGGCACGTAAAATCAGGACACCCAGCTGTGAGTAGTCACCTATCTCTACAACGATGATGTATCCAGCATCACATTCGGGCTTAAAGCTAGTTTAGAATTAAATGACTGAATTCACTGTAGTGCTAGGATCTATTCAAGGGTTTTAGGGGGTAGCTGGTGCCAATTGGTCCAGCGCGGCTGCAACTTGCGAAAAATTCGGGGGCGGGGGCGTTTGTTGGTGAGGCTTGGTTGGCTAAGTCCAGTGTCAAGGCTGTCCAGCAGAAAGAAAGAAAATGGTGAATTGGTGGCCCAAACTAAGCACTAAAACAAGGGAAATCCGAAGCTAAGCTGGATCTCCCAGCATCAGCTCTAGCGGAGCATCCTCCCGAAAGCAACAAACAAACCTTTTGTGTAATGTTCGAGCAATTTTGTTCCCGGAATAATAGTACGGTCGCGGCAGTGATAGCTTCACTAACTCAATGCGGGCCTCCAACTTTTCATACTAGGTGTTGATTAGGTTGGGTGCGGCAGTCCCACGTGAGCATTCTACAAAATGCCCAAGGCACAGTCATAACCACACAATCTTTTGACAGAAACACAATTTCTTACGGGCTCATATGTAAGCAGCACTCAGTGCAGCTCGGAGATGCAAAGAGCTGCCTTACGGAAATTAACATTCCAATTGGGCCAACTGTCGGCCATCCGTGGGCTGCAAAGAGTTCGAGAACAGCGTGGATGCGTATACTTGTGTTCCGTATCACCTACGCTGATGAAAATTGTTCAGAAACGTTCTACCGGACAATCTTTCTGTGGGTCATGACTTGTGGGATCAGCAATTTCGTGATGCAATTCGCTGCAGTTTCGCAGCTTCATGGCTCCGCAAAGGAGGGTGGACGAGTGGATGGGCGAGCCTGCCAAGCTGTCCTACACGTGCTGCTTTGAAGAGGCACTGCATCAACGGCGCCTCCGCGTGACCGGCAAAAGACCAGCTTGTCGAGTGCAAGTTAGATCATAACTTCAAAAATTGGGCCTATGAACATGGCAACTGAAGAAGCAAGCACCTGTCCTAAGAGCGGCCGCCACACACGCACCCTCACCGCTGCATTATTTGTGAGGTGTGGGAGGCATCTTTGGTGTTTTCCGCCATCTGATGACCTTAGTATTCCACGAATACTACGTAGCACTAATTGCTGGAGAAAGCCTTTGCGAGCCCTCAAAAATGAGGAAAGCATCGTCGGCAATTACGCTTATACATGGTGCAAAGTGCCACGCGTTGCATGCGTTTGACCTCCTTATCGACTTCTAGGAAGGTATTGCAACTGACTCTTCGGTTGCTGAGAGAGTACTCTGTAATGCACGTGCGTTTTAAGTCGCCGAGGCGAATGAGTGCGATGTGGTAGCTGGCGGCTCGCATCGCCTGCTAGTGATGCATTCCATCCTAAAGCTGCGGTGTGAACGCAGTATGCATTCACAGGTAGGCTGTGCTTGCACTCTAACGCATTCCAAACGTATACAGTCGCGCTTGAATTCCCTATCAAATATGGCGCAGCTGCCGCCAAGGAGAGCAGATGCATCATCTGATCAATGGGAACCGAAAGGCCCATCCACTGCAACTTCTATGAAAAATCACCAGTCGCAAGTAGCCACACAAGCCGTGGCGCCAGCAGGTACTTTGTCCCACGTTCATGTAGAAGGACTCTACGGGTTCGCTTCAAACTTCCTGCGCAGCTATACGCGGGCACAGGAACAACAGACGTCAACTTGCCCCAATGCGAAAGCGATTCAATGGAACAATCATGAAAGCCCATATCACTATGACAAAAACATCCAGTAGCCGGGTGAAAATCGCCCTGAGCAAAAGCCTAACTTCGTGCTGCAGCCATCACGCCATGTTATTAACATTTCTGTCAAGCAAGGCAAAATCCCACCCATAAAAGTCGAGTACATCGTGTGAGGCCTTAGTGTTAGCGAACTGGTTTAAGAGATGCAGAAGTTGTGGCACAAAAAAGAAAACCCTCAAACAACCCCAAGAAGCATGCGGCAAGAACCACGTCAGTGTTCCCACGACTTTAAAGTGTTCTCAGGTAAGAGCTCCTTCTCGAAGATAATAGTCATAGCTTTCCCAAGTTCCTCTTCCCTATGCGCATCTGCGGTGCTCTGCGGAAGGAGGGGAGCAAATTCCACACACTAGACCCTGCTCATCCACATAAGAACTGGCCGCAAGAGCTTCGCTGTGGTTTTGTTGGGCCGGCATTAAAGCGTGCTACTGGCATGAATGTGCACTGTTTGCACAGGAGAAAGGAAACGCCAGTGCAAGCAAAGCAAAGCATTAGAACTTTCACGGAGGCATAACATAGTTAAAACCGGAGTGCAGAGTCTCTTCTTAAAGGTCTTGCAGGTCTCGTTCCAAGATGAAGAGACGACTTTCATGTCAAAGCCCTCCAAACGGAAACAAATGTTCTTCCGCTGCACCGCTGACTCCATACAAACTCTTCAGGGACAAGCGATACCACAGGGCTCTCCCCGATCCGGTGGTATGTGTAGCACTCTTCTGACTTACACACAGCCGCGATATTGACTGAGCACTTTGTGAAAGGTTCGCTGAAATGGAAGTCGTGCACTGTCACTGAGATTTCCTCTCGCTTCCCTGTGAGGCCAGATATTCATAAATACAAGCGAATCCAAGGCCCAGCATGCCAGTTTGCAAGTTGAGTGGCTCCGCAGGTGGGTGGTGCTACCACAAACATGCGGACCATACCAGAAAACAATCCGAATTCCTTCTTGCTTGAGACGAAGCTCATCCAACTGTAGAATGGAAAGTTCCCAAATAATTGGGGCAGTACCTCGTGGCGTGGATGTCCCAGTGCAGTAGAGCCAAAATGACGCGCAGCTTCAGTGCTGGCCCACAGTTGGACCTGATAAATCTGCTTGCTACCACATTTCTAAGTGCGTCACTCAGCATCCAAGTAGGTGAGATCTAAGGAGCACTCTACTGGGACAAGTGGGCATTGGGAACCACGGAAAGCCTCCGACTGAGCACGGAATGGCGCCTGTTGGCATCCGATGGAGGCTTGGGCTTTTCCTCAGCTGGCAAGTCTTTCCCTGGATGCTTTAACTCCAATGTCTCCTGAGTGGAATAGAGATGTTTCGGGCTGTGCGCCGCATTGCAATTGGCATTTTCGTCGTTATCTTTGCGGTTGTGCTCACGCTCGTCCTCAAGGGCACTACCTGTGCCGAGTGAAGTCGCCTCCCAGCAATTGTTGTCCTCCTTAACCCTCATTCCATTTACACGGTTGTGTTCCATAGGGCTTGGCGGTGGACTCCACTCAGCACAAGGCTCAGTCTGCGAAGCCCCAGGCGGCTCTTGCCATATCCCATGAGGTCTCTGTCTCCACGAAGGGGAAACTGTGAAGGGAAGCCGTCCTGCTCCGCCTTGTTCTGATGCCATAGATCCAGTAGGTCCCGCGTCATTGTAAGCCGTGGACCTCTCACCACCTTCCTGCTGAGACGCAGTGGGAGAGCATTTATTTGCTGCTTCAGCTTCACGGCCTGGAGTCAAAGTAGGCGATAAGAAGGCGATGCTATCCCTGAAGTGCAGCATGAGGACAAACACATAGCAACATGCTCGACACGCTGTGTAGTAAACGGATGTGTTTACACGTCATAGCAAACTGTCGAAGTATGCTCCAAAGTCACTGAAAGCGACAAGGCTCTCTCGGAGAACCGCTGGCGTATTCGAGCCCGCATTACGCTGGACAAGGAGCGCACGATGATGGCTCACTCATCGTCGGGGTCGTATAAGTCTGCCAGTTGGCGGCGCAGCACTGCCAGCTCCAAATCCGAGTCACCTCGGAGCATCATCAATTGAAATTGATGCATAAGTTTCTGTCGAAGTTGCTGTCGCTGTTCACCTTGCTGGGACAAGTGGGCAGCTGCCTCTTTGCTGGCTCTTTCGTGCTCGTCAAGCATGTAAAGCTGGACCTGCGCAGAAACGCTCCTTCCCAGCCTTATAACACAGTGACAAACGCAGAACTTCACGGACTTTCGTGGCGATGCACATGGTGTGTCTCTTATGTCAGAAATAGCACACTGGATGAGCTGTACTGAGGTGCAGCGCCTTTAGGTGGTCTAGATTCCACTAGATAGATTGCCCGCAGCCCACCTTGTTGAACGGAGAAAAGCTGATCCCTCGGCTTCGTCTGCGGCATTCTGACTGCTGTGTTCCACTGCTGTTTCGAAGAATTGACTTCCGACGTCTCTCGTGTGGCACGGTGCCTGCAGAAGGCAAGCAAGCATGTGGGTCGACAAAGAATGTGGCCTTCTACATCAAGGGCTGATAGACACAGATACAGATCAACCACTTCTACTGAATAAAGCAGCACTGCCGCGCGAGATGCAAAGACGTATCAATTACATCAAAGCGACCACGAAGCAATTTTGCAAAACCCTGACTGCCTTTCATTGGGTAGAGTAGCCAAGCCATTCACGAAGTAGCAATGACATACCCTAGCGGCCCATAGTGGTATCTGTCGCCACTACCCAAAGGCCCTAAATCTTACCGTGCACTTGGCGAGCAGCCATTGGGACAACACGCTGCTCCACCTTGGTAAAGTTAAGCCTTGAGCTTGCTGCGAAAACATTCAGCCGGAGACTGTTGATTTACGAATGAATGACCCTACTTTAACTTGTATTAGTGGCACGTTTTTCGCAATATGTTGACACTAAGCTTACTGGTTGTCGTTGTTGTTCGGGTTTGTTCGCTGAACTTCTTCACAACGCGGAGTAAATCAGCTCGTGAATGGAAGCGCAAATCCTGCTCCACCCATCACCCCAGCTGCCAGTTCAAGCCGTTCACCGTCCTGTAGTCTATTAAAAGCTTTAGCTGTATACTTTAAGGTGGACTTAGTCTTAACGTCATGGTTTTACGGCCAAAGAGGGCTTAAAGCGAACCTACTCCCTTCAGAAACCGCGACACTTCAACCCGAAGTTCTTCTGTCGTTAGAACTTTCTCATCCTCCTCATCAACCATGACTGTTCATACACACAGCTTGTAGGGATTTACTCAAGTGGAAGACTTGTATTTGGTGCCGGGCTATTAAGGAAAACGCAACTAGTTGCTGGAAGCCTACGGCGCGCCAAGGCGGCAGACTGCAGCTCTATCTATACCTCGATCCCACTGTGCAACCTCTGAAACCTGTTAGAGTTCTTGGAGGAAGTTTGAAGGATAAGAAGTGCAATTGGGTCATGGGCATTTCAGACAGAGGGTAGCTCAAGCGTCAAGAAAGGCAGACTCTGGATGCAGGAAAGCGCCAGTAAAGTGGGAGTGGCTCACATGGGTCAAATCCCCAAAACGAGGGTTCTTCTTTGGAAAGAGCTTTTCGATTTTTCAGCAGTTCAGCTTCACGCTGTTCCCATGCCAGCAATCTCTCCTTGCGCTGTTGTTCGAGTAACAAGTTCTGGTGCTTTTCCTGGTACTCCCGATCGCGGACCGCCCACTCCTTGTGAAGCGCTTCCCTCTTCTGTTGATGCGCTGGGACCCACTTCTCACTGCCATCCTCGAGACTGCAGACACTCGAGGCTCGGCGCATGGAAGCAAAGGTTTCAGGCTGCTGTATTTCCAGTTCAGTGGCCACTTTCTGAAGAGACAGGCTATGTGGAGAGCTGCTGCGCCGACGGTTCTGGGGCTGCGCCGCAGTGTTGCCCCGTGGCTTCTGTGAAGAGCTTGCACCACCAGTTGTTGCAATGGCATCAATATCAATGGACGGCTTCGCATCATGAGGGGCCGAGGCACTATCCAGATTAATGGAGTAACTGGCGCCCCTTTTGCTTCTAGCTGCTGTGTTTTCGTCAGTACCGCGTTCTTGACCATCGTCAAAATTCGCGGCGAACTTGGGGCTGCCACTGGGTGCGCACTGGAACTCCAGCTCTGGCAAACTTCCATTATTTACAATGTGTTCCTCCGTGCCATTACTATGCCCGGAAACCCCATCATTAGCTGCGGACATTTTGGCTCCTGTGTCCGTCGCGTCTGTTGACTCTACTGCAGCGGAACTTGAAAGCTCAAATTCCGAATTCATTCGGCTATCTGAGGAGCATTTAACAGAAGGGTCGTCTTGCTGTGAAGATGTCAATCCCGAGGGTTCTTGGGAGCCTGGAGGGGAAGCTGGCGTTCTAGAGCGAGAAGTCCGGACTCCACGAGCTGCTTCAACGGACTTACTGCTCACTGAGCTGCGTCCACTGCTTCCGTCTTTCTCTAAAATGGGAAGAAGACGCCCTGGCTTTGCGATAGGCAGCACTCGTACAGAGCGCCGCGCCGTTGTGCCCTGAACCAAGCAGCTACTTTTCCGTGTTTTGTCTGCTGAGGAACGTGCTGGGGTTGCTCTAGCTACGCACCTGCGCTCTGCGACTGCTGCTGCGGCCTTCGCCGCTACTGAGCCACCTATTGCCGTTGAGCCTCGCCCTCCCTTGGAAGATCCAACAGAAGAAACACCGCCCAATCTCGCCCCAAGTTTGATGCACGTAGCATTACGTGATGAAGGCAAGCACTGCATTTCTGCTTTACTGGGAGAAGTTCCATGCCGTGGAGTCCGTCTGCGTTCTCCAGGAGCGGCACTTCGTACAATGCGTACGGGGCACGTGGCTGCGACGGGTGAGGCAGCCGAGACGGCACCGTCCTGAGAAGCGCCTGACGCGAGTGATACTGAGCGACGCACTGCGTGAGAGCTCGGGGCTGAAGGCAAACGCGAAAGCGTAGAGGCTCTCACCATATTGCTGCGCCTTGTCACAGACCGCCTTCGTGCTGAACTAGTGGCTGCTACATAGGGCACTCTTGGCTCTGTACTACTTGGACATGACGACTTGCATGAAAGCTCAGTCTTGGCTCCTGCGCTTCGAGAAGATCCATTACTTGCAGTTGTCGCAGGCATTTGTTGGCCTTTAGAATGCTTTTTAGCTGCAACGGTTCGCGTAGGAGTTGCACTTGATCGTCCTGCCCTTTGCCAGGGAGAAATAGAATTCTCATTCCTGATTGGTGAATTAGCTGTGGACACTTCACGCGCCTTTGTCACTCCATTAGCCGACTCCGCTTCTCTCTGACTCAGCAACTTTGCTGCGGCATTGTCAAAACTCTGACTAGGTGCTTTCAACTTTGACGCTGGGACAGTAGAGGCGCGGCGGGAAACCGCCGGCCCCTTCGCTGAAGCCTCCTGCCCAAACGGGACAGCACAGACCCTTTGCTGCGCCTCTGTTACCGTTGGCGACGCGCCTCGTCCAGGGGGACTTTTCGAAGGGCACCTGCAGCCTCTCCGACCTACAGCCTTCTTACTTGGGGTGTTCTCTGTAACCAGCAGCAAGGGCGACGGGCATCGCTGTGAGATTTTGGAGCGGATGGAAGCCCGAGCTCTACCTTCGCGAGGTTCAGGCGAGCTGAAAGGAACCCGAGGCGTCTGGAATGAGGGAAAAGAGGCTTCAGCGCCAGTTTGTGTGCGGCGAGGCGACACTCGCACGGGGCTGCTTAATGGATTACCCGCAGGGCCACTGCAGGACGGTCTGCGACCGTCAGCGGCACACGCTTGCCGTGAGTGACCCTGATGTCGTGTTTCGGCCTGAAAAAGTTGCTGAAGAGGGTGCGAGGTGGTCTTAATTGGCGACGAAGCCGGGAAGTCTGAAGGGGAAGGTGGAGGATGCTTCTGAAAGGGAGACTCTATCGTAGTGGTACTGCTGTTGTTACTTGCGCAGTTGGCCGTTGCATCCATAATGCCGCGAGTAACGCCATTTTCGCCGTTGAGTGCCACCGGTGCGGCAGCGGAGCCACGCCTAGGCGATGCTCCAGCCGAGACACCGGAGGGACCAAGGGTCTGCGAGGAAAAAGAAGAAAGACGCTTGCGGCTCTTGGGATTGGGAAGCACATCATTCGGCATGTCTCCCTTAACCTTGGCGTGTGAGGAGTCCGACGAAAACGAATACGTGGGCGCCAATGGGCTACTGGCGCGGCGCTTGCGCGTCCCCAAACCCCTCGACGCAGCATCAGGTGACGGCAGGGTAATGGGCCCTTTTAATCGGCCAGTGGATAAATCTAACACATCCACTGCCGTTTTAGTCAAATACTTTTGTTGCTGACTCTCAGCCGCACTACGAAGCTCTGTCTGCAAGCCCTGCAGACCTTCATGTTGATGCTTCTGCGCGGCAGTGTCTTGCTCTTTCTGTTGCCCCTGGATCGTCCCACTGGGATAATCTGCCACGAGTTGCTGTAGGAGACTTGCGCTGCTTCGTTTTCTCTGTGACCTGGTGAGGACCTGCTCCTCCGTTGAGCTGAACGGTGCCATCTGACGCAATGCCCTGATATCACTGATGAATACGGTGGCTCCCACATCTTGCTGCTGTGAGCTAGCCTTGCATCCTTGAGGGCTTTTCGTTGCCGAATCCAGAGACGATGAATCAACACCAAGTTTTTTGCCGGAACTGTTCGGGGAAGTGGAGCAATAGCCCAGGGATCGGTCAAGAGGTGCACGAGGCGAAAGCTCGCCATCGTCCCACATCTGCTGAAGTTTCTCACGCAGTTGATCTGTATCAGCTGTGCTGCTGCCACAGTGGAAACTTATTCCCTGCGTCTTCGCACCACTCTTGCGAGTCGGCGTGGAGGCTGCAGACAGCGGTGACTCAGCGCCGTGCGCTGGCCCCACTCCCGCCTGAGACGTCCTCGATGTAATCAAGAGGCTCAAGTCTGTTGGTAACAACATATTCGTGGAGCTCCCACAGTCCTTTTCACTGCCCACAGATGAAGTTGTGCTTAGCCTTGCCAGTCCCTTCGAAACTTCATCCGACGGTCCCCCGTACCCGGCGGAGCCATTAGGGTTGGCCCGCCTCATCAACGGGGAAATCCGCAACGATTTCATCATTCAAAGACAAAAGCAAACATGCCGACTGTTCTAACAGTGTCAAGTCCTGCTGATAGGGAAGAAGGGGCGCTGGAAATGGATCCCTACCAGCACAGACGAGTCCCCAAGGCGATGAGTCGTGTCCAAGGCAGCCCTAAGCACTCAGAGCCCCTGTCAGCTGTAAAGCAGCTCAAAAAATCATCATCAAGCGCCTCAGAGACCATATAGATCACATATTTCTCGACTTCGGCAGTCGGCAGAACCCTGCATTGCCCTCGAGGGACTGTCACGCGACAGCTGGAGCCGGTGTAATCCTGTCGCCTCGGCATGTGGTTCAACATAGCACCGCTAATGACATGTTTTATCTCAATACTTCAAAAATTTTACCGTTCCCCTCGAAGCTCCCCTAATGCGCAACAGTGGTCAGGAGGAGCTGGCATGGCATAGGCACTCGCAAGTAGTGCATATATGCCTGACCCACGAGGCCAATATGCCAGTTTGGGTGCGTCTTTTACGCACGAAACGTGTTAAGAAAAACAAGAGGAAAATTTTTAAACAGCCGCATTCTTTTTCGAGCCCGAGACACCCAAGCCTGCATGCAAAACGAATGGCAGTCGGCGGCCCACTCTGGTGTTAGTGTTTGTGGGGGTTCAGTCGATCAACGATCCCTCTCTTCCACAAAAAAGTTGTACAGCAGAGCCGTATGCAGGCATGCACGCCATGCACGTGTTTTATAGCGTTGACTTCGCAAGATTGTACGCCAGTAAAAGTAGAAATCACGACGCTTGCCTGCTGTCGGTCTCGTCTACTACTCCGTGCTGCAAGTGGTCATTAAGCGCTGGCAAGCTAGGTAGTAGAGCCTCCACGCTAGTCACTTACAGTGTAGCATTTATGTGATTTCTAGCCTCTACGGGCTGTATTTCTCTGACGATACGGCTGGAACGCGCAAAATTTGGCAGACCGTAGAGGTGCTTGGGAGGGGATTACGTGCACTGCATGAGAAGCTAACGAGGGGAACTTTGGCAACAGCGGTTTATGCAAATCTGGATATGGGAAACGCAGACTCACCTCGCGTGACACTCGGCGCCTATAAATGAGTGCTTAATAGCCAAAAGACAACGTCACAAGTGAGCTGGTGTCATGATTCAGGGCATGTTCTATGGCAATATTCGCCGAAAGGTGTATTCGCACGCTTTCGATGTGCGAAAGTTGTGGTGTCTCAGTAACTTCGGCAAACTCGGAAAATCCAGAAGCTAGTCGTTTGGCATTTTGCGAACGCTGCGTTTGAAAAGATATCTGCACGCAGGCGATCTGGATGGGTGGTGTTCACGGTACAAGAGAAGTCTATTCCGTGGCATCTTGTGCATGTTGTGCCGTCCATCTCCAACTACCAGACTCCCGCCATAACAAAAGTAGTGCAGGACGGAGGACAAATGACAAATGCGCACCAGGACACGCTGCAGCTGCCTGCTACCGGAAGGCCACGCAACTAATCGCGGCTTGAAGGGGCTTGCGTTTTCAGTGTAAGCGTTTTGTGCTAGTTGATGTGCCAACGGTACTGCTAGTTTCACCATAGGGGTATGGCAGCCTAAGTTCACCGCTGCCCAAGTTCCCGTCCAGCGCAGGTGACTGTGGCTACCAAAGTGCATTCCGGCGGGAAGAATTCGGAGAAGGGAGGTCTAGGTCACTTTCCAAGGAATGCAACTGGAAACCCAACTCTGGAGGAACAAAACACAGTTGCAAACGCTTCTCAGTGCACTGCGCATACCAAGAAATATGCAGACGTTTCAAAGCAGTTATCTTGGTCTCTAGCTCCGCTAGACGGCGGCGCCTCTGCAAGTTGGCCATTAATTTTTGAATACCTGAGAACAAGAGAATGGGCATCTCTGCACAAAATGTGGACATATGCAGGCACTCCGGTGCTACTGTCACCCCGGCGCTCTGCTGCGGCTATGCTGAAGAACTGGATAGCCGGAGAGTCCTCTACGACTTAGAGGGTCGCACCTCCCTCTCCAGCCATAGTAACGTTGAAGCCTCAACAACATTTGAAAACGCGTAGCAGGGCGAAGAATCATAGCGTTTCCAGACATCCAGCCAAGCTCGCTGCGGGAGCCGCTAAGTTGGTCCAAGCTGATCCACCAAGCGAAAACGACATCGTGGGAGCAGACGTCATTTACCATGGACACCTGCCCTGCTCCTTGCTCTAGGTAACATCATCTCCCCTGGCCAGAGTTCAGGCTGCTAGACCGCCCCTAATCCGTGGTCAGAGGTGGTCCCTCACTGCGTGGAGACTTCCTTCAATAGTAGTGAAGGATTTTAACGCCTCCATGCAGTTCACAAAGATGACGACGGGCTTGGCTACTGTTTTGATCCTCAGAAGCCACTGACCGTTCGCAACTATGATGAAACCAGCATCTAAACATGGCCGTCATCTCTGCTCGCATTTTACACGACGAAGTAAGCAAGCAGAGCTCCGGCTCACTAATAAACATTGATAATTCACCTAAACTAGATCCAAACATAGTTGGAGAGTGCATACAGAAGGCGCTCCTGGTATTCAAACGCCTGCAAGAGGCAGGCTGCCTCGTATTAAACCTTGTTCCACCTACTTGCTTACTGCGTTGGTGCAAAGCTGTATGCCACAGAAACAGTGCACGGTAGTTCAGGTTTACACTTAAAAAATGCCACAGAAACAGTGCACGGTAGTTCAGGTTTACACTTGAAACACCAAAAAAGCAGTGACAATACAGTTCGTTTCTTCCTAATCTTCTTCGGATGAAGACTCCGAAGGTAAAAGGGAGCGTTCATCAAATCTAACGGGAGATTTCCTCTTGCGGCCTCCACACTGAGTGTCGCTGTTTCCTTTGAGACAGCTTCGTGTTCCTTGAGCAGACAATGGGGGAGGCTCGTGAATGGATGCAGGCTCCCGAGCCAAGCGCCAGCGGGCAGTGGATTTGTCTTCAAGCGCATCACCACCTCCGTTTTCCGCCTGCTTTTCTTGATCTCTTATCTTAGAGTAATTAAGAAGTGCAAGAGAACTCTTGCGCGTGCGTTTCTTTACACATGCCTCACCGGCATCTCGCGTAGCCGGCACGGCGACCGCAGTTCTTCCTTCCGTAGGCTTTGCATCTGTCTCACTCGGCGGTGCATCCTCCTGCCTTTTGTACGAAGAAGCAGCCTTTGCTGCCTGAGTCGCACGCACAGCACAGACATTGCATATCCACTGCTGGATCCCAGCTATCAGCTGTTGCCGAGAATTCTGCGCGTATGACAGGTGAAGCCCTGCATGAGTCATATACGCACTGAAATCCCAAGGAACACTAAATAGATAACACATCAACAGGTATTAGACCGGACGCAGTTCGTAGAACAGCTCACTGTGCACCCGCGCAGTAAGCCCTGTGCAGCAAGCTCTACGCAGCCAAATATCAGGAATTCAATAAGCCCCGGACATAGCTTTTCCGCCAGAAGTTCACAGAACACTCACCATCTTCTCTTTCACTGGAGAAAGAAGAGCTTCAAACGACTCCTTGTCTAGGCAAAGCAGCAGTAGCTCAGTTCCAGCGACCACTGATGCCGTGCGTCGAGTGTTTCTAATGAGTGCCATTTCTCCGAAGTACTCGCCTCGTCCCTGTCTCGCGAGCTCGAGGAGCCCGCCATCATCTTGCGGCTTTTGGGTGATTGCCTCACCCCTGTATATAAAACATAGCATGTCGCCGTGGAACCCCATTTTAAAAACTGTCTGACCCTCCGAAAACTTCTCCACCTTACACGCCATAGCCACCGCGACAATCTGCTCCTCCGGCATGTCCCTTATCAGCCTAACTTTCTGAAGAAACGCCGTAGCTACAGGAACGAACAACTTGCGCTTTGTCAGCATGTCCTTAACCAAATCAAGAAACAGTTCTCTGTCGAGCACCCACAAGGCGCACTCGCTGCTGCTCTGCCGAGATCTTAACGTGCATTTTAGCTTCTCCCCTGACACTAGCTCCTCCAAACCAAAAAACTCTCCTGGGGCCAGAGACCGTAGCACCGAAATGCCAAAAAAACCCTGCAACAGCCGCCCGCAAATATTAACGACGCTTGATGCATTCGCGCTGTAATGCAAGTAAGTAGCTCGGAGTTCACTAGCACCTGCTTCAAGACGATGTAAGCACATGCTGCTCCCGAACTACTTCGGGGTCGATTTAGTTGCACGAGTCACCTATGGCTAAGCATCTGAGCTGCAAGCCCCCAGAGCGGGGTCCAAGCAGAGAGAGGTTGTCTGGAACTTAATGAAGACTTACGGCTTGGGAAACTTCGAATTCCCCTGAGCTGCACCACATCAGAGCAGGGTCTGCACCTTCTTCCGCCACAGTAGCGGATGCAGGGAATACGTCACGTCTCATGAGAGACGAGATGTACTTTTGCTGCTGCGGATTAAGAACTTGCAGTACGGGATCGTTTTTAATGGACTCAAGAAGCAAAAGCGTTTCGTTGGTGAAAGCCCGGTGATCGTCTCGCTGGACAACTGCAGGATCCTCATATGGGAGCGTTTCCTCTACCGGGTCACCTAGAACTGGTCCTTCGCCACCAGCTGTAGCTGCTTCAGACCCTGCATCTCCTCCAAAGAAGGCCCAAATCCTGTTACCCCATGAACGAAGCTCGGCTTCCTTCGCAGCAGCTTCCTCCGTTGACAGCTCACCTGCATATCAAAGACAGAACATAACTTTCCTGCCCAGTGTGATAAATTAGATGCGCACTACGCCAAAGAAACAAAACATTCGAAGCAAGAAAACAATCACTATCCCGACTAGTGTTTGCCAGGTCATTGTGATTCGACACGAAGGCCATGCCACCCCAAGTGGTCCTTGTCGACAAGGTAAAACACAGCACTCCACCCTCAAATGTGCCCATATGGATCTTTCAGGGCATTGCAACCACTGAAGGCAAAGCCTCACAGTTTGGAAACGGCATCGCCGTTCCCAGGTCCCCATTCGCGCTTCCACCAAAAGTTTGCAATTCCTCTCGCTTTGTATGTCCTTTGGAGGATGTTTCAGTTGTATCTTTCGAAACGTTCACTAGTGCAATAGAGGCTGGAGTCTCCTGCGGTGAGGTACAGCCAGCCTCAACCACAGCAGATTTCTCTGCTCTCGCCAAGTACTGCGTTCCTCTATCCGCGAATGGTTGACAGTGGCGTGCGCAACGTTCCTGTGATGATCCCATTTTTAAGTCTGCATCTGTTGCTTCTGTGAGCCCACCAGGCGCAGTGGTGTCCCCCGTCTGCTGTACAAGAAGACCAGAACTCCGCTTCCCAGCGGCTGCATCATTCTCAGCACCAGGCAAACGCAGGGAAGTGTAGAGTGTTCTGCCAAACGGTGTCACAGTCTCTAGTTCGTCGCCGCCTGCTAGCCTTGAAAAATTGACAGTGTCTTCCGAAAGGTCCGCACCGCCAGACGCGTGGGGCTGTGATTCGGGCATACACACTTCCCCATGCACTCCAATGAATTCGTCATATGACGCTGGATTGTTGACGTGCGTTTTATCAGTGTCGATGGACGAAGTTTCCATCACATCAAGAAGTGGTGCCTCAGGTGTTTCTTCAACAGAATCATTGGAGGACACAGAATCATCTTCTTTGGCATTGAGGATTCTTTGTCCACTACTAAGTAGCCACATTTCAATGTTGTCCGCTATTTCATGAAATGACATCTGCCGTACAGGGAGCTCTAAGGGGTCCTCAACCAACTCATCAGAGTCCGGCACACGCAGAAGATGAGGGTCTATTTGGTGAGAGTTAAAATCTCCATTGTGGTATAAGCACTCTGACTCATCTCCCTGTGATGGGAAACAATCGTTTGGAGACCAACGAATTGGCTCCGTTTGCCCGCACAAGTGCAAAAGGACTGTGGGCTCTCTCCGTAAGCCTTCGTCCTCGGGCAGCGGCGATTCTTCAAGACTCGTCTGCGATGTAGAGAGCGACTCGATCGGTTCATCCACTGAAGGCTTGCGAGATAGGGATAGCATTGATACCTGTGTTGCAGTGTTCTTGGCCGTAGCTACATCTTCCCCAACAACTGGCCTTGCTCGACCCTCTGGTGACGCCTCTGTCGGTTCACTAAGTTCAGAAGCTCGTGCAGAGACGCCCTCTATTGCAGCATTCTCTTCTTGGTGCTTATCGAAAGCCGCAGAAACCCAGGAGCCGACGGCTGAAACAATTGCAGTCAGCCCTAATGGCTCTACAGAGCCAAATACGGAGGACGAAATGGATCCCAACGGCGCGCTGCCATGAAGCCTATCAGCATCTGCCGGAAGTGGCGTGTCGCTCGGTTCGTGTGGCCTTGGAGAGGGAACTGCTGCTACTACTTCCGCAGATACGCAGCCAGTTTCACCGCTGGAAGTTCCGCCAGCGCCTTCCCTTTCTGAGAGGGTAGACGGGCCTTCGGATGTGCAGTTGAGCTGATGTCGGTCTGAACTGTGCGTGGCTCCTTCCGTTGCGGCGTTTGAGTACAAGTTTAGAACCAACTCTGCAGGTGGAGGGGAATCACTCAACGATTTCGGAGGCTTCTGATTGCACCTAGGTGAACTAATGAGCGGCTGAATCGTTCCAGCTGCCTCTTCATCTGCCACTTCTGCAGCAGTATTGGAGCCACCGTCGCGCCCGGGACAGCTCTGCTCTTGCATCTTGTACGGCCAACTCTGCGCCACTTGCTGGTTTTTTGCAACTCAGCTTTTGTGGCACTCAGGTCTGCAGATACAGACGCCACTGCTCAGCTCCGTCTCCATGCTTCGCATGACGGTGACATCGTCAATCAGCAGCAGGTCGTCATCAACATTTGCGGAACTCCAATGAAATTACCTCGGTGGAAGATACTGTTGTTCCCCCCAGTAATAGTTATCCTCTCACTCTGCTGCAAGCAGACAAAATTGATAGGTGGTGCCAATGGCATGGCGGCTATTAGTTGGTTTTTGAAGGGAATGGTCGGGGAAGCTTTAACAAGCTTGTGAGCGCCAGCTCACTTCAGCCACTTAATCTAAAAACTCCTCAACCAACGCGCAGAAGCCCTCTTCTGCTCGTTTGTTTCCAACCATCAGCATTCGCTGCACGCTTGTCCCATGACTAGGCCTCATGAAGGCACCCGTTCTCCTCCAGTGCCAGTGTCGACAGAAACCTTTTCCTCTGTTCCCACTGGCGTTCTTGCTTAATAGCAGCTAGGCATGAACTTCGACTTCGTGACTGTGCAGGCCTCTATGGGCAGGTTCGCCAGGGCTCGCTGCTGTAAACTGATGGCCGGGACCGGCATGAGAGATTTTGCGACACGAATTAATTAATAGATTGGTTAGTTTGTTTATCTGTCCTGTGAGCATGTAAGCTGTCCGCGATGACAAATGCCGAGCTGCAGCCCAGCAGCATCATCGAACACACAGTTGACAACTGCGCCAGTGCATCGCTCCGACCTATGGGTCCTTCGAGATCTTCTGTTCATTTGATTGTGCACTTTTACTTGAATCTTTGAAAATAATCCGGTAGCACGGTGACCACTCTTACAGCCGCACATGGGCAGCCTTCCCGCATGCAGTGGCGCTCTTCATTCTCCAGGCTAGTGAGCCGCTGGAACAAACGCCAGCGCCTTCCCTTGTCCCGCTTGAAATAAATGCGCAATTTAAATAACTTCCCTCGCAGAGTTAGCTGGTTGACAGCTCATTTGTGTACTCACCTGCTTTTCAGCTCTATGGCCTGCTCTGTGAGCTCGCCACCACCAGAGGGCTGAAATAACTTTCCGCGAGTTCAAAACCACACGCGTGATTTGCGCAACTAGGAGAGCCAAAATTTATGAGGCATGTAGTAGTTGTTACAAGGTATATTACAAGGTATAGGTGGGCAGAACAGAGCACCCCTCCTCCTCCCCACGAAACGTTTATGTCCGAACATGAATGGATTTCAGGTGTGTCCGTCAGATGGCATAGCAATGAGCTATTCCGCAAATTTATCTTACCTGACATGAGCCCAATGAGCGTAGACAAAGTAATGCGGTCGTCTGAGGAGTGGACCCTAAGTTAAGGCACGCGTAAAGGCAAAAACGAATTACTTCGCACAGTGCCTGTTTCGCACGAAGGTTGGCTAGTTTAGCTGGGCAAAAGTGGCTGCATGGAGATCTGGGGATGGCACCATTCCAGACAGCTGAAAGTAGCAATCCCCAGACAGATGTGCGCACAAGGCCTTACTCACCCCTTGGTATATTCATCCCAGATGCTCTCAGCCTTGTCACTATCAACTCCAACGTTTGCACTCAAGCTGCAAACAGAGCAATTCAACATCCAGAAGGAAAGTGAAACGCGCCTGAACGCTGCAGCCCCTTTATGGGCCGTACTTTGATGCAGATGGATTAGGCTTTTGACAGCACACCTCGTGAAGTTCTCCCTTGTGCATAAGTCCTTCCCTTCAATGCTTGCAATCTTCGAAAAAGCATTCAAGGCAGATCCATATATCTCAACGGCTCGAAGATGGATTTCTGCTCCACTGGGCTCCACTCCTCTCGCGTTACGATATAGGTTGCCCACTACAAGGCGGCCCTTGATTGGGCGGCACAACTCGTCGAAGAGAGCATCAATTTCTTGTTTTTGAAACCCTCGAATATTGCTCTTTTTAGTGAACGCGTAGAATTCCTGCTCATTCACCAGCAACCGCGCGCCCATGAGGCGCCATCATTAAATATGTACAGGTTCCAAGAACAAATTCCGGCGCGAGTGGGTGTGGAAAGGCCCTAACTTAGCCAAATGTGCACACAACGCAAGAAAGGCACACGAATTAGTAGTGCACGACAACTGCTTTGGTGTTTAAATTACATCTGCATCCACAATGTCGCTCTTGTTCACATCCATCTCTGCAAATGCGTGAGCAAGTGACCCATATTTGTTCTTAAATGTGCCGACAACAAGCTCCCTAAGACGATCGAGGTCGCCTGCTGTGATGGATACAGGAGCCCCGGAGCTTGTCATGGTTAGTGCCTTGTCTTTGTCCTTAGACACTTCTTTGCCGCCGGGTTTTTTCTTTTTCTTCTTCTTCTTCTCTTCATCAACGTGGCTTCCGCCACTATGTTCACTGTCTGTTTTGTGCGAGCTATCTGAAGACTTCTTCTTCTCTTTCTTCTCCTTGTATGCTTTCGCCTCCGCTTCATCCGACGTTCTCGTCAAGCTTCCTGTGCTGATTGCCTCATCTGGCTCCTCTGGTGAATCTTTAATGGAACTGGGAGTGTAAAAGGCACCTTGTGCCTTTGCGCTGAGAAGCCATGCCGGCATATCTACCTCCGGCGTCGAGTATGTGCTCTCCGCCTTTTGTAAAAATGCGTCTGCAAGGTGACCCAAATGTTTATCAAACTCAGCGCGGCCCAAATACAGCAACTGAAAACCAGCAATGCACAACGAGTTGAAAAATAATAGAATAGGTAGAATTCATTCATAATCTGTTAGACTGACGTTAAAGTGCCTAGATGGGTCGTTTCAGGTAGCACACCTTGACCTTTGTTTTCGCCACGCAGCTAGCAGTCCGAGGTTGGTTATTAATAAAACCGATTTCTCCTAAATAATCTCCTGCTTTCACCACTGCAATTTCCTTCCGTGGCTTGCCGGGCTCAGGTGACTTCTGAATAGAAGCCATCCCCTCAAGTACAATGTAGAACTTGTCTGCGGGATCGCCCTCATGCATAATTATTTCACGTTCCCTTACTTCCTCGACCTGTTTCTCCCAGAGCACACAAAAAGAAGCTTTTCTTTACAAAGTAAGTGGCCAGGCAGACCACTTTTTCCTGGGTTCTTCCCTTCTTTGCTTAACTGGGACCCACTCCTTCTAGCCGTTATTTTTGCATCGCATGTTGGCACGGTTATGGCATGTGAAAAGTGCAGTCACAACATGTAAGCACTGATACAGCAAAGGCTTTATGCTATGAAAAGGTTCACGGTGAATACAAGTACTTCTTGACTTGCTGACCTTGAATGCGCGTGCTAGGCCCTGAAGTTGTTCGACGCTCAGCAAGTTGATGACAGGGACACCAGAAAGGAGCTGCACCACTTGAGGCACCTCCTCCTCGCTCTGAACGCATTCACGAAGCCCTTTATGGAGAGTCTGCCAGAGGGGACTTGGAAACGCAATGAAATTGGTGGGGAAGGGAGCAGGCTCAATGGCCTTGTTCGTCTGTTCCCTCCTATAATTATTTGCCTTGTCTTAGCCTTACCAACGGGGTGCTTTCTTCCTTCGCAATTATTCTCTTTACAAGTTTCTGGCTATACATTGACTTAGCATGCTCCAAAAAAGCAACGTGCATGTCACCCAACAGCTCTTCGAAGTCTGCGGCCTTCAGGGCGTACACCTGAGGTTTGGAGTTGCAAAGCAGCAAGCCCGTCATTACAGCGTGGCACTTAACGCAACCGTGCAAACCAGGCATATAGCTCATATATGATATATGTGAACCCAGCCAGGTGCCATCAAGCCATTTCACTCGGTATATAAGGAAAATACACTCATCGGCGGGTAGAGCATAGGACTAGAGCAGCAGAGGTACAGCTTGACATGAATCCTCTTTTTTGTATCAGTTTCGACGCTCAAGTAATTTCCTTACGTAGACAGGCGTTAGGGCAATGACATAAGCAGTCCTCGGCTCGTGTTGGAGGATGGACATTTCTCCAAAAAATGACCCAGATGTCATTTCGGATATCTTTTGCATCTTGCCTGAGAGATATACAACTAGACAATGAAAATCATCCCTAAGTGAGAGGTGGGCAAACGCTATTAGTAAAGCCTCTGCGGTCTTGCATATTTATTGTAGCAGTCGCACTGGGTTTGTGGCTGACCGCAACCTAAATAAATCTCAGTGGAAACTGTTCCAGATTCCAAAACATAGAATTTGTCAGGAGCTTCGCCCTGCAGTACAATTGCTTGGTGTGGGCTGTATATTTCCAGGCTCATGCGCTGAGAAGAAGATCAAATCCGCGCAAGCAGGAAAATCGAAAATGAATCATTTCGGGCCGAATCATTGATCCGCAAGATCTCCGTTCGTGGTATGATCTTGCATTTAGCTGGGGTGACACCCGCTTTCAAGCTGCATCTTGTTCGCACGATCGTTCAGGAAGGTTTGGCTAGGCAATCAATAAGCTCTTTACGCTCGGCTGATGGTAGCGAGCAACAGCTAAAATCAGTCGGTGGAACATTTTGCATGGAGGTGACGGAGGTGCTTACATTGCATATCTCATGCCTACGCTCTTTCGGCAGGTCTTTCAGCACTGGAAGTCCTTCTAGAAGCAAGTTGCATTCTTCCCTTGTCTGTAGCACCGCAACCAGCACAAGTCGAGAATGCCTCTACCACATATTATTTAGAGTTATAGAGTGTATGAGGTCGTATGAACCTCAAAGTAGCGTCGCGTTTAGAAACCTTTCAGCTGGAGTAAAGCTATACTGCAGTGGCAAACACTGTTCTCACATCAGAAGCCCACCCTTTCAGTGTCCTCCTGTAGTAGTCTTTCAATGAGATCATGATCGACAAGCGTCTTCTCTTGCGTCGGAATGGCAAGCGTCTCCTCCTGTGTCGGAATAGCCAGTGCTGTAGAGGTTATCTGAGAGCTCTCAAGGCTCTCACCAAGGGAAGGTTTGTCTCCTCCTAAGTCTTCCTCCAAGGCTTCTGAGGGACTTCGAGAATTTGGATCGTCCTCCAACGCATTCACGTGGCCAGCACGACTGTGCAAATTCATGATGCTGCAGTCCACCGTCGCAGAACGTCCACTACGCCTCCGAAACTCCATTTCCAACTTGCGTAAGACACTATAAAATACGTCGCTGTCAATGGACAGGACCTGAGAGCTCAGCAACAATGCTTCTAAATGACTTGTGCTGTATAACTACAGAAAATGAAGCGCTTCTACGAACAGCGTGTTAGTCTTCGTTCTCTCGAAATATTTGATGCACAATGGCACTGCCGTTCCGCATCAAGTGTACGCTCACAGTGCAGTCAGTTCGAGCTCTGACAGATGCAGTATGAGACCGGCCCTTGACCGTAGTAATATCACCAAAAAAGTCAAGGGACCGGAAAACACGGATCTCTACTTCGTCATCTATATCCGCGAATCCGACTGCGGCAGCTTCTCCATCTTTAACCATCAGTACGCGGCTTGCCGTTTCACCCTGTTAAGGCCAAAAATCCTTTGCGCAGTATACACGAGCTCAAAGGCCCTCCTAAAAAATGGACTTCAGTGCGGTCTAAACTCCGGTGTTTGAACCGGCGAGATTACATTCAGCTTAAGCTACAAGCTGGTTTTCAAAGCAAATCTAAGCGGCATGTGTAACAATGGACCTCAGGTACGGGTACTTACTTTGGTAATTATTTCCTCGCCTGAATGAAAAGTTTGCTTCCTGAAGGTCTGAGGGTTTGCATGTCACATTATATCAGGGGTGTCGACTCTATTTGAGACAATAGGAGTAAAACTTAGTCCAGCTATGCCGGGTGCAGCATGAGAGCAATTGCTGTGCCAATGCCAGCAAAGCACTTCCAGTTGTGCAATGTCTAAAAAGAGTGGGCGTGCATAGTTTGCTTACTGCAGCGAGGCACCTTAGCAACTCAGGAGCAAGCTTATTGACAACTGGTACTTTCCGGAGTAATTTTTGGTAGTCCTCCACTTCACGCTGCCTTTGAACAGCCAGCCGCTGCAGTTGACCAGGACAACAAAGAGCCTTTCACACCTTGGAGAAAAGAAAATGGCAGCACGCTGTCCATCACAGCACGCGGGGTTGTAGAATAGAAGTTGCTTGCAGCAACACTGCAGGTGCTTAGTGGAGTCTCTCACTTCGTAAGATCTCTCAAAAACGCTCCTGTCAAGAGAGTACAAAAACACATCTTCTGCTTGGTCTGCTTTGGCACAAGTTGCGTTTGGCATGCCTTCCATTATTTCTTCCGAGTAGAGCAGGCACGGTGCAGAGATGTTCTCGAGGAGTCTGTATTGTATGAAACCCTGCTCCAAACAGTGCAAACAACACAAATGGAATTGAAGCATTGCGTGTTCAAGTGGACAGCAGTCAGAATTTGTAGAAATAATTGCAGCCACAAATATTTTTTTTTACTCCCGCAAATGACTGCACAGAGTACTGTGGTTCCTGCATACCGGCTGGAATATGTCAACTGATCCTTTGAGAATGACATACAGCGGACAATTGTGGTCTTCTTCCGCTTGAATGAGCTGGCCCTTTCCTACGGTGCGCGGCTTCATGTCTGCGATCATTGCCTTGCGATCCTCTGGGTACATACAATCCCACGGAGGCGAGTCAGCCAATACAGCATCAACCTGCGCTTCACTAGGGGTGAAGCCGAGGGCCTGGCGAGCAGCCGTATCTGCACACAAGTCAATAATGGGGAACTCACACACAGACTGAGCCTTACTCACGGGAGCTCACCCATGTGCACTACGCGTTGCCTGCGAGGTAACACCAACATTTAGATCACAAGTCTCTCGTAAACGCAGTTTTCACGTAGTCTTGAGGTGCTGCACGTATTACAGTATATTTAACTTTTGCAGAAATAACGGGGATAGCAAAAAAATGTGAAGTTACGGGGAAGCGCCTATGTAGTTGGCATCTTCGGTATGCGGGGTGACAGTCAGCTGCAAGAACCGTACAGGTGAGCTTCTTGAAAGAAGAACGCCTGCAAATTTTTGCTTCTGGCTTTGGAGCTTTCGTTGTACCCGAGAACACATTCAGCACATTACTTAGCAAGTTAGTTGCGTCCTGCTCTACTCGCTCTACTTCTTCCCGGTCGACGTTGTCTGAGAGGACACGTACCACAGTACTTTTACGGTAGCGACAAAAAACATGGGCAATGCGAAGTGCCCTTTTCGATGTCTCCGAAAATCTTGGCCAGGCGCGAACAAAACGCTGGAATCGTCGAAGGCGTGGAAAAAAATGGAATGCCGGCGTACCTTCAAGCAAAAGCAAAACGTTCTCCCGTTGCAAACTGCCACGGTTAGATCTGCAACGAGACACAGCATTTCGAGCAAAAAAAGCAGTTAATGCAGGCTTTTTCAGCCTTTTGCCCCTTTCACGTAGAAAAACGGCAAGTTGTCGACGTGCACATTGGCTTCCACGGACCTATCCATATCTCTCCAAAGAGCGTTGGCGCAGGACAGGATGATTCCAGCTTCTCCAGCAATTGTGACAAACTGCTCCTTGGTCACACGCCCATCTGGAGGGATTTTCGCGTCATTGAATGGCTGTTCTACGTCTCCAAATATCTAATTAGTGTCGCACGCGCAGCATTACCTACAAGGGTTCGACTGCCACAGGTGTCGCAGGTGCAACACCACCAAGAAACAGTACTAGAAGGCATTGAAGTACACAAACCCATTTGTGTGCTTCGCAAGAAAGTTGCTGCCATGCCCTAACTTTGTAAGATCTGGCACTGGGTATGGAGGTGAAAGCCTTTTAGACACGCATTCTCAAAACCAAACAAGAGAGTGCAATGCTTTCAAATGCAAAGGTTTGGAAAATGCTAAAACCTGCCTCTTCGAGCCTTCGATGGAGCTCTGTCAAACTACACGTATCACCTAGAAGATTTTTGTAGAAGTTGCTGAGCACCAGCATGCCGTCGCAAGGGGCAGAAAGAGTATTGTAAAGATCATGCGTATCGCTAAATGGTAAATTCATGCCCAAGTCGTCGACAAAGTTGGCGAACTCCTGCAGAGGGCAATTGGAAAACGACGAACAAGTATGCTCCAGTTGAAGCATTGAAAAGCCTCCACGAAGGCTTTGAGCTCGTGCTATGGGCCCCGTCTTCAAGTGTATTGTGCGCAAAAGTTTCTGCGACGGCCTCTATAGCTCAGTTACACAAGGTTACGCTATCGTTTTCTTATCAATGAACGACGCTTAGAATTTTTGCTGATGCACGTGTCGACTCTCATCCGTGTACCACTCACACTGAGCTTGACAATGCCAGAATGGTCAACGTCCATGTGCCTAAAGGCGCTAGCAAGTGATGTGTACTTCCCAAGGACAAATTCTTTGAAGGATGACCTGGGGGAAAGAACTGCTGGTCCTGCCTTTCCCAACTGATTTCCACCTCCTACAGAGCGATTTGCTGCGGTTGGTCACAGAGCCAAAGTGTGTAGGGGCAAAGTTAGGGTGGATACTGAAAATTTAAACTAATGAATGCAGTTATGTGGTAGCCTCTTCGAAATGCCGTGGGCTGTAGCTTGAACCTTACGTTTGGAAGCACCAGGAGTGATTGTTTTCGAGCGCTTGTTTCTTGCAAGCCTTGTGAATGTTTGCCCCATTGCCACTTTCTGCGCTACGGCCTGAAGTTTCTCTGGGTTGGACAAAAGCACCACACTAATACGGTGCTATACCTTACTGACGCACCCAAGCGCATTAATCTTCAGAGGAGTGTGAACATCCGTCTACGTTAAAAATTGAATGTCTTGTAGAGGGACCTCATGCTTACTGAGGGCAGCTTTGGAGCCTTTCTTTTCGGCGAGAGGAGGTGGCAATGAAGGTGAAGTGTGATTGCTCCCAAGGGACTGCTTGAGCCTGTTCTCCATATCCTTGAGCTCTTGTTCCTTCTCTTTCACTAGATCCAGAGCGACTTTTGCCTTTCTTTCAGCAGCTTGGACAGCAGCAGATAAAGTAGACCTTTCTTCTGTTGCTGCAGACTTGAGAGCCAGTGTCTCTCTCGCTGCTTCCGCTTTGACTCGCTGCACTTCAAATTCTAGTTCCCTGTGCTCTTTACGAAGCTTATGGAGCTCATCTTCCAATTCCGAGTTTTGTTGTCGTGATCGCTCTCGTATCCTTTCCTCTGCAAGCTGGCGTTGAAGGTCTAGCTCCATAGCTTGCAATTCTATTTCTTTCCTTAGAGACTCACACCGGTCTCTTTCCTTTTCAAGCTGCTGCTCATACTCTCGTTGCTGCTTCAACAACTCTTCACGAGCTTCTATGGAATCCTTCCGCCTCTGTTCCTCGAATTCTTCTTCCTTCTTTCGCAGCTTTTTCTTATGCTCAGCTTCAGCCCGACGAAGTGCTAACCGAGCACGCATTGCCTCCTCCGCTTGCTGCAATGTAATCTCTCTCTGGTCTATGTCGTTGCGGATTTTCTTCAGCGCAACTATGCCGTGTGAGTTTGTCTCCCCAGTGGATTCAGCTGCTTTGCGGGCTTCTTCCACGGAGACAGTGGCAGTGCTTGCTATCCTGCGAAGGACTACGAGGCGTCTTAAGACTTCCCGTGCTCTATCTGTTGTTAGCGCGTCGTACAACTTCGAATATGGATTTTGGTGGCCGCTTTGGCCGACAAGAGGAGCAATATCAGCCTCAGGCTGGTCCACACTCAGGATAGTACTGTCATCCTGATGCAAATTACTGACACGCTGACAGCCATCCGCACTAGCTAGAAGGTCCTTTTCTTGTTCGTGTAGCTCGCATATCCTATCTTGTACTGCGTCTATCACCTTCTGTGTTTCTGCGCGACCAATCAGTAGCTCTTTGGCAGTACGCAATGCTGCAGCCCTAGAGTCAGTGTCAGCAGTAACAATGCTGCCTCCTGTCAGTGCAACAGGGCCTTTGTATTCCCAGTCAGGCATATGAGCGCCCTCCTCCCATTCCTCTCTTTCTCCCTTCTCAAGCCGTGTCATGTCGCACTAAACGCAACACGCACGCATTCAGTGGACAAACGTGCTATGCTCTAAAGCTAGAGTCATCAAATCGGTTATCTCCCTCTTGGCAAAAATTGATCTGTCACTAGTACAGAACAGCCAATATGTCTACTAAAAGATTTTGCCGTCTGGAGGAGGACCAAGCCTCAAAAAGTTGGTTGCATGGACGAGCACCGAATTACGCTGCGCTAAACACAGCGTGGCTAGTTCCTGGCAACCATTTCAGCCATGCAGGCCAGCGCCACTACTGCATACAGTGCTGCAGGGAAACGCTCCACGGCAGCTGCCAGGCGAGTGGCATTTGTCTGCATGCTACAGGTAGTCGACGACCGTCTGGCTTTTTTTTTATCGTCGATAGCCCGAAGGGCACTCTTGAAACCACTTATTGCTCACTGTTGACGAAAACTCAACACATATTAGGGCGGAGAGGCATGAACTGGGTTGCAGAGTCTGACCCGCAGATCGGCGACCTCTTGCTCTAACTCGCGCACTCGGATCGAGTAGCTCTCAATTCCTGCGCCTCACCCAAAGCTATAACATACGCATATGCTAGCTGTGAAGTTGATTCCGGTAAATATAAGTGAAGCACAGAAAAAATCTACAGGATGCAAGTCACGAAAGTGAAATTAACTGCTGCACACTACTGAAAATAAGGAGCCCAGGCAGCCCTTGGAGGCGCTCACTGTGTGCATCCGCGGCGATCCTATCTCTAGCAAGACGTAAAAGCCTCAGACTCTCCTTTTCGCTCCTTGTAAAGCCCTGAATTTCCCTCAGCGCTGCAGCCTCCCCCGCTTGTGCAATTGTTCCCCGAAGCAGGTCACAGCGGAGCCCAGAAGCCCTAGCAGCAACAGCCAGGTCAGAAAGGTGGTCTCTTAGCTGAGTATCAAACAAGCACCAAGCCACATTACACAGCGCCCGTCAAAGACGAAGACTTTGTTACAGTAGTTGAAGAGCGGCTGGCAACCCGTTTGGACGTCGCAAGTAACACAAATGCTGTACAAATGCTGTACTTCTGTGCCTCAATAACCATTCAATGAACGCACTTATTTTAAGGTCGTATAATTCAAATGTCTGTTGCAACCTACTGTACCTCTCGCTGCAAAGCTCGTAAGTTGGCCTGCCAACTGCGAGATATATTTCGTTCACTTGCTAAACGCCTCTCCAGTTCAACGTTGATGTCCTGAACGTCCTCAAACAAGTCACTCATTAATACGAAATCGAATTTGGCGAGAATGACGTTGATATACTATCAGACCAAATGGCAGCGCATGAAGCAATACAATGCTTTTATTGCTGACTTGGGCTGTTGCAAGCTGAACAATTGTGTCCCTCAGCTCCGTCATAGCATTCCTGCCATTTCCTAGTCCGACCGCCTCCTGTGCAGCCCCCGCTCCACCAAACCGTGCTGCCAGGAAAGGATCAGAGACGATCCTCGCTTGAACTTCAGCTAATCGCTGTCTCATCACGATCGTCCTGCACATGGCAACAAATTATTATCCACTGAAGAACATTTGTTCCTGTTGACTGTTCTCTTCCCGTCAATCGCTGAAACTTTTAAATTGGGCCCTAAGACGTCTGCATGACGAGATAGAATCAGGCTGTAAAAGGCCCAACTACTGGGTTCGTAGCTTACTTCAGCATCAGATTATCTCGTTCCTCCTCAAGCACGTTAACTTGCGTCTGCCACACACCCCTTTCGTAGTCCTTTATTTGGAAGTCGATACAGTCTAATATTTCCTGAAGCTTTTCCGAGCATGCGCAGTATCGCTGAACGAAATTTCCACCATTTGGAGATTCCGTCCGACAGAGAGAAATATCAGGAGCCCTTGGCGAGATGGTGCTGACTTTCTGCGCATACTGAGGCGCTTTAGCAGCAGCTTCTGGGGCCACTCTGCTACCGGCAGCCTCAAGCTCCTTCGCATACGCGCGTTCTTCGTGCTCTCTAAGAGCGTCACCTAAACGTGTAGACGTGGCTTGCAGGCGAGCCTGCGCACGAATGGAAGACTGCAGCTTGAGCCTGAGTGCTTTGTTCTCGTCTATCAAGAGGCTTATACTTCTAGCCAACTCCGGTCCGTAGCGTCGAGCGAGGGCACGGATTTCCGCTGCTTCAGGGTATTTCTCCTGCAGCCGCAAGAGCGCTGTAAGGTGTACTCGTTAAGATTTACGTCTTCAGAAGAAAGCGGGCTTATCAACTTGTAACCGGCAGCGAGCAACGCTACGTCGCGAAACCTCATAAGAGTATGACTTGTATAATCTTCTCCGTTGCTACTTTTGTGTCCCACAAAGTGCAGCCAAATAAGGCGGCCTCGCGAAACAAAACGATAGCCTATGTGGACAGTGATACACATCTTAACTGGTGAACAGGTAACTATTGGTGTAATTGAGGGGAAGATCCTCACCGCTTGATGTAATATCCGCTCCCGTAGATCTGCATTCTCCGCCTCCAAAATATTATTGACTTGCCTAAAACAGCAACCTCGAAAAACAACCTGGTAGCGTGCAGATTACAAATGTCGCAAAACTTTTCAGGAAAGCCACCGATGTGCAATTCCGTAATACTCAATTTGCCCAGGACTTCGAGGCACTCTCCAAATGAAGGATAGGCCACTGAGTTGGCAAAAATTTCTCAAGAAAAGAATTCATCGCTTACCTAACTTTTCTTAGTTCCGTTCCGAGTTCGAACAGCCTTGAGTTGAGGGTCTTTTTTTCCTCGGCTTCTCTTTCCCCAGCTTCCAACTCGAGCAAAATGCTGCTGGCCCTTTTTACTCCCCACTGTGGAGACTCACTTGTCCCCGGCTTCCGTGGATCCAATGAATTCTTGATCTCTGTAGGAGCACGGGCTTCACTCGAGGTCACGCCACTGCCACTACTGCCGGAAGGAGCAGCGGCCCCAGGCAGAGGCCCTGGGATACGTCCCCCTAGCTGCATGATTACTGGGTATGCTCACTCTCCATCACCCAGCTGCCGGCAAAACAGATACCTGTCACTTGCTTAAGGATACTGAGTACAAGCCCACGTGACATGGACAAATCTGTTGATTTAAAGCAGCCTTTGTAGCTCAGAAGGCAGTGTCGACTCCCGGCTCCTTCAGCTCTTTGTTTCTCTTTTGTCCAGTTTGAACTAGCTCAGTGCAAGCTGGGATATCAGAACTTTAAGTAGAGGAAGGTTGGCTTGAAGGGAACTTATCCTCCAGTTCACTCAGCAGGCAAACGCGGCGATCACATCGCAGTCTCTGGGGCTTCTCCGTCCCAAGATGGGTCCCTCTTTCCTGAAATGAGCAACTTCAAATATCCCTGATTCCCTGGCTGAGCAACCAGGAGAATGTCCATCTCGTCGCCGGATGGCGTATCCAGCGAGAAGATGCCGGCCTGGTCGAGCGCAAGCGCTGGGCGGCGACGACTAGACTGACCACGCTCACCCATACAAATGACGGGAAGATGATGCTTTGCAAGCTTTTTCCAAGAAAGCGGCAAACTGACCAACTTTAATGCATTTTCGCGAGTCAAAGAAGTTTCGCCGCGCATGCCGGTCTCGGAGCTCGTGCAAAAAAAACGCCAAGTAATGGACACACTCGGATTATTGAAAATAAATAGAGCTGACGAGATGAAAGCTGATTCTGGCGAACGAAATGCGATATGATTGCAGTGCATGCTTCAAAGAATCCGTGCAATGTTGCGCAAACGTACGCCAGAGCAGGGCCCAATGTAAGTTATGTATGCACGCAGACTACTTTACGCTTCCCCTCTCGTTTAAGGCGAAATTCTTGCAGTTCGCCTTACTGTACTGCCTGTCTACATCGATATATTCTATGTTTTTAATGGCTCGCCTCTAAAATGTGCCCGTTACCCGTTCCCTGTACTTCAACATGACCTGATCCGAAGACCTGACCAGGCCTGTTTAACCAGGGGTACATCACCCATCGAAACCTGAGGAAGCAACTTGTAATGAAGTATGCAGTTGATTCTACGGCATCTCAAATGTGGGGGAAATATTCTTGTGCTGTCAGTTCCTGAGTAATTTTACCGTCTGCCATTGGGGCTCCAGAAAGCGTGTGGGTTACGTGTGCGTAGCGGCGTATCAAGGGTTCACGTTCGGGTCTTTACAAATAGCTCTCTCTTTCGCAGTACAAGAATAAGGCGGAAGAAGAGAGGCACCCACGCTCTTCTCAGGGGAGCTCCGCCCTGAGGCGAGCTGGGATCCACCCTTCGAGGGACACATTATGGCTCATTTTCCGAAAGAGCTGCATTGTTTCCATTGGCTTTGCATGCCGCTTGTCAAACAAGAAATGAGGAGCTACTAGGTCAGCTGCATACTAACTCATTCACAAGTAGCCGTTACACCCAAGCACTTCGAGCCAATGCGAGACTTGAAGTGCCCAAGGGGTTCGTATAGTCCTTGAGCAGAAGGTCTCTGTCTGTGGTTCCAAATATATTAGCCCAGCTGCTTCAATAGAAAAGGCGCAGGAAGGTTACACCGCAGACTGCATGTGCAGCAATGTGGCAGGAGAGGTCCACTCCTCTATGGAACGGCTTTTGAGCAACCAGGCCATCCAGAGGCAAGAAACGTGCCATAATCATCGGCGGCATGAAGCAGTGTTACTCTAAGCTTGCACTGAAGTGCAGGACATGTTGAAGCATCAACCTTGCAGTTACGGACGATGTTCTGCACGCTCAGACGATTTACTTTCGCACCCGGTTTCAAACATGAAAGAAGTTGTGGACACATTATCATCAATTTTGCCCCATCACAACCACAACAGCTGCAGCGCCAGTAAGCGCATTCTCAATCAACGTCGTAAGATTGCAGTAAATGCACAACACTGCACAACCAAGGCAGAAAACGCCGTTACCGTATGAGGTTTGAACACTGGCTCTTCCGCCGTGGTTTTGCCAGCTTCCGTACATCTGCTATGTGCTCGAGAGGTCTGCTCTGAGCTCTATTGTCTAGGAGGGTCGGGCAACTCGCCGTTGGACTTCAAATCTTCTTCTTCCCACTCCTGTTCGTGCCAGCGCTTCAAATGCTCCTGCACTTCTGTTTGACGCCGTTTCATCTGGGAGCAAATGGTACTTATGTTCACGGGGCCATTTTCAGCCAATATAGACAGCCAAAAAGCGTCGCTTAAGGCCTGAGCAGCTGAGCGTTTTGCGGACTGCCTGGGGCTCATTGCATGTAAGTCCGATTCCTTGCATTCTTGTGGCAGTAGCAAAGTTTGCTCGGCTTCAAAGTCCATGCACTGCGCTGACATTACAGCGTATGCCTGAGATAAGAGACACGCCAACCACCGGAAAGCAACTTTTTTTTCGAAGCTTGAACGACTCTCAAATTGAGAGACAGCTGCCAATGATTCGATTTACGCAGCAAGCCCATTCCCCACTTCGTCTTCTTGCTCCCATCGATGATTAATGGCCTCTTCCTCATTAGCAGCCGGGATCCTTGAGCTCCAAGCACAGGCGAGTGTCTGTGGAGACGCGGGAAAGGGTGCAAGCGCTTCACTCACCTTCCCATCCCTCCTTCTCAACCCACGTTCAAGCTTATAGTTTACATGCCTTGCTAGAGCGTGCTTGTACGGTTATAAGCTGTTTTGGGCCACTGTGTGGTCATTTTACACAAAATGTGGGTGCGTATTTACCCTCCCGTGAAGCTGCATTCCATGAAGATGGGTGATTGCGGCCAGAGCTGCTTCATGTGAAGCCAAACGAACAAAGCCGAAGTTCTGTGGCAGAAAAGTGTAATATCCAGCATGAGGTATTTCGCTATAGTGTGTAAAAATTTCACATTGTATTCTAGGTTGCTGCCACGCAACGGTCATAACATGGAATTGCCATTTTTCACAGTGCCAGTGGTGCAAGCATCTGATTTCACGTCCTGCTCCCACTGGATGGGCACAGATTCACTCCTCAAAGCGTGTTTAATAGCCCGTAGCTCAAAAGTTACGCTCTAGGAGGTTCCCTACGCTATTTTCCCCGGCTACATTCGGCGCGGCAGCATGCTCAGCTCATTGCCTCCCTACCCTTGTTGGGTGAACTTCAGCGGCTCTGACTACGTCAAAGTATGAACAAATCTCTCGAAGCTCTTCCTACGAGGTGAACATGACAAACAGCAAGCACAATATGAACATGAGAGTGACACTTGAGTCGTTTCTCACTTTCTTCATGTGCTGCTTCACATTCAGCATCTAAACGTCTATCTAAACTATCTATCAAATCTTTTCCAGCCAAGAGAGCTCCTCCAGTGCGATCGTTCGTAAAGCCTGTGAAGAAGGCGTTCAATATCCCGTTTCACGCCTCTATAATTTTGCGCTCCACTTACGCCGTTCGTCAGAGGAGGCAAGTTTGCAATGAAAATGCTGCAATTAGCCGCATGAGTAAGCGGCTCCCTAGGACTGCGAACACTCACAAAGGCAGTCAAGTGATGTACCTATCAATGGAATTCATATGTGGCTCCATACAGCTTACTCATGGAGTTAATTTTCCACAGCAGAAGCAAGCGTCTTTGTGCTGCTTACTTCCCTCGGTGTCTGTGTTTGTGCACCTTACGAACGATAAGATTTGGCGGACTAGGCAGATCCTGCAGGCAGGAAAAAGCATACGCATACCTCATTTATTTACGTGTGCCGGTCTCGTGCCTATCCTTCGAAGCTGATGAATGAATACCATTCTCTTTCCAGCAAAACGGCTTTTTACACGAGTGTAACTGGATTGGACGGCACCTGCAGCTTCTTCAACACCTCGTCTGATGTCTTTTCGTCGGAATATCGAAGAAATGCATACTCCTGCATTCCTCTTCTGGAAGGGATTCCCGCCACCGCTGACATCTAAGAACACGCTGACACACCCATCTGCTATGTACGGTCAACTACGTGAGAATTTAAGGAAAATTGGGCGCCAGATGAAGCACGGAATATTTTAATACCTTCACATGTGTCGGGGCTATTCCTGTTGCTGAAGTAACGAGCTCCTCGACTTGAGCAGCGGTGGCGCCTGCGTTTGTGAGACCACTCAAGTTGAATTATTTGGAAGAAATATTAACGGCAGCGTATCGGTAGCTGCCCCGGGGCTAAGTCGATGGTAGGGATTCGCAAAACAGCATTTGCCGCTAAGAGATTCTTAGAACACAAGCCCCTTGGAGCAGATTTAACAAGCGCGCAGACCACCTCAGCACCCTGGACACTTGGCAAGGGAACAAAGACGGATTTGGGATATGATTTTGTCTGGAACATGGCCAATAACACTGGCCCTATCAAACAGCTGCTGAAGCTATTAGCAAGCAACTGTCAATGAAAGGGAATGCCCGGATAGAGGCGGACAACAGACTGGAAACTGAAGCACCTGGTTGCAAGCCAGAAACGTAGATGTGATACTGATCAATAACAAGCGGGGTACTCCATGTCTCGTGCAAAGAAAGCCGCACTTTGCTGCAACGCAGAAGTAATACTACAGTCAGTGCACTCATTCCAGAGCCACAGTAGTAAGCGCAGCAGCTAAAACTGTGATAGCGCTTTCACTGAAGATGAGCATACGTTATGTAAATAAAAGATGCAAAACAAACTGCTGTTGCCCCTTTTACCAGAAGCCATTCGTGGCAAGTAGGAGTAAACAAAAAGGGAGTAATGGCAAAACAACAGCCTTACGACGAAGTTCCCGGCAGAAGGACAGTCTTCCCAAGGAGCCGAAGGGCTAAGTCTGCCAACAGCTCATGCGTGAAATCAACAACAGCATAAATGCTGCCCCCATGGTTATCAGATGCTATTCGAATGCTAGATACCGCGTGAGGAAGCTGCTCCAAAAGCTGTTTGCGCTGGCTGAAGCCATCGCCTTCTTGCCTTGCACGGTTCCACTGATCTTCTTTGGGGTGCAGACGGTTGCTTCGCCAGCTGCTTTGAGGCAGAGAACCTTGGTGTGCAGGCACGGGAGGCCGGCTTTCTTTAGCGTTCATTTGTGCTAGGCTCGACTGGGCACCTTTCCCCGAGAAGAGCTGTCGCAGGGCTTCCGTTGCCTGTTCGGCGCCGAGGTGTTTTGGCAGATCACGCACAAGAATGCTGCGCACCTCGACCTTCGGCCGTTCCTCCGTTTCATTTTCTGCAACGACTGTAAAATGTTCTATATCAGTTGACTCAAATATATGCTGCATTTTCTATGTCTTGCCTGCCACAGCAGGCAGAGTGACCAGCCCAGTGGTGTGGTTAAGTTCGGTAAGCCCAAATGAGTCGCGCCAACGAAAACAGTCAAAAAAGACAAGAAACCTGGACAACAAATCCTTTTGACTAGAAATTCGGGTAACTGGCCGAAATTTTCTGGAGGTCACCAGCCGCTCCAACCCCACCGCGCATCAAGCGTGCACGACGTGGTTCTGTTCAGCCATTTCCCAGCAACCCAGCGGAACCTTTACCCATAGTTGAGCACTACGATGAAGTTATTCTTATTCTTTCATGTTTCATCCTAATAAATTGGCTGCTAAGGACCAAGATGATAAAGTATCTGCAGACCGGTGTACAGTGGAGTGACCCCAACCCGCTGCAAACAATTCAGTGGCCCTCGCTTGCAGGGCCCCTATTCAATGAGTACTTCTTCTTTCAACGCATCTGCATCTAATTATAGTAAGAAGAACACAATCGTCAGCGCTGTGCTCTTCTCGAGAGTCTAGGAGCCGTGCGACGCCCACTACTGCTCGGCAGGCGCCAGTCCAGGACACGCAAACGTTCCCACTTGTTGCAATCACAACATTCACAGACCCTGGCAAGTACCAGGCATTAATTTGACACTACCACTGACACACCATGCCATTCGAAAAACCACACCCCCCACGGAGGCTATGGGCGTACATGTCATGAGCGCACAGCTCTAAGTAGCTCAGATCTGCATGAGCGGACCTCCTTACCTGCCAAATTGTCCTGCTTTCGCGTGGCCACTCTTTCAGATCCTAAATCGGTATAATTGCTCATTCCCTGTGCTAATAAAATAATGTTTCCCACGAGTTGCCACTAGACTGATCCCCTGACGGGCCCCATCTGGCTTAACAATGTCTGACTAATCAAAGCCGTTTTTGCTTGCTGTTGTTCGGCCCAGAACATGCGAGGTGCTCCCCAGTACGAAGCAACACTCTGCCTCATTGACGACTAGCAGCCTCCAAACCTCTGAACAAAATGCCTGGTAAGCAGGCTGGCACCTTCAGCTCTTCGGCCGCAACGAAGTTTCCCACCTTCCGCAAATTATGTCAGTCATCTAAGTGACTGTCAGTTGGCAAATCAAAAAGCCACTAAACTGTGCGTGCTGGTCAAGGCAGCACGAACGCACTGCAAGCTGCGTCTGCCTCGTTAATACTTAGATCCCCAGTTTAAAGAATGCAAGCATTTGTGGGAGCAATATAATATTAAATTGCACACAAAGAACCCAGTCATTCAAACAGGAATGACCCCTGCTCAGCGCGAAACAACTGAAAGATAAAGTCGGCCCTCCGGAGAGCGGATCCCGGCCTCAACCAGCGTCAGGTGGTCCTGAATGGAAACCGCAACGCACATTTAGCTTGAAGATAGAAAAACGACGTTATCTGTGGACACTCACAACTACTCGCGAAGGGACGCAGTACTCGTCATATAGGCGATTAGACGGCAACACACACACTCAAGAACCCCAAACCGCAAAACCCCGAAAATGACCGAGATTTGTGCTGCGAGGGCGAGAGGTTCTCACTAGCATGGCGGGGCCATCAAGGGAAGTGGAAAGCTGAAGATCTCTCGCCCTGAGGGTTTCTGCACCGATGCCAGCATCCAAGAGCGATTGTTTCAGCTGAGCGCCCGTAAGGGAGCGATCGACCTCCACCTGGGCCTCCTGCGCCTCAAGGCCCTCTCCTTCACGGCAAACAACAGTCAGCAGCAGCAGCGACGGGCCGCCATCAGCAGCCGCTGCCGGTGCAGAAGGTGTGCTGTCCACCCGCTGCCTTTTTGCTTCTGGTGCCTCCCCAGAAACTCCAACGGCCGCGACTGTCGCCTCTGCACGGAGCGGGTCAACTTCAGCTTCAGCCTCCAACCGCTGGCCATAGTGAGACACAGGCACAGCCGGACAGTCAGCATCTCCAGCAAAAAACGTGAAAAAAAGTGAAGAAAAATTACCAAACACAAACCCCCGCAAAAGTGAAGGAAAAACAAGTGAATTCTGAACCCTTCCAACAGGCAGTCTACTCAAGTGCACTAACTGCCTTACGTTACAGCCTGCCAGAGATACGGAAACAAAAGGCAACGATCTAGAAGTGTCACAAGAAAAGTCACACAAAACATCGGAAAAGACATCAAATCCTACCGCGTGGTCATCAACGGAACCAAATAGATCTGGTCTCTTTGCCACAAATTGTGCAAGGTAACCCTCCACGTCTTCTAGTGGAGCGAAGGCAGACTCCGCTTGCGCCTTTTCAAGGAACCGATCCTTCTGTTCCCTGTATAACAATAGAGAAACAGGATATTTTTATTTGCATCAGCAAGACCCCACCATACGCAGTACACCATGGAGACTCTTGGAACAAGTGGTGCTGCCTAAACAAAGAAGTGAATTCTATCTCCTCGAAAAATCAGCCTTGTCAGCTGCATATGGACATTTATGTAGAAGGCTGGCTCTGGGGCTGAGCATACTTCCACTTGGGGTCAAGCAGTAAAATTCTGAGATGGTTTGTCATTTGGTCTGCAGGTATTAGCTGTCCTGTAATGGGGCACCGCTGGAAGCCACTGGAGGCCCCTGTAGCCGCCTGTCTCTTCTTCGTGCGTACGTATCCCTTCACGACTCTCAGTGGCGCAGCTGGGGCTGGTGGCTGTCCCGCAAAGACATACAACACGAGAAGCAACGTGCAATATGTGTCGTGCTGAGATCGAAATGCAAACTACGTAGGGCGGCAGGCGCAGGAAAAAGATCCACAACAATCAGCGTACATGCAATCAGCGTACAAGGTGCCATATGCAAATCGGGAAAAAGTGCTTTAGAAGCATATTGAGACAGCCTCAGCATGAAGACAAGCAAGCAAAAAAACAGATTTGCAAAAAGATTTGTTGTAGAAGCAACACCAAGCATGAAACCAAAATAAACTACGAAAAATGCATTAAGGTACAGATGCGGTAAGCAATGCAACCACCAGTCAGTTCCCCTGCGCAGAGTCAACGGGTTCCCAATGCATCTGCCAAGAGAGGCTGGAGACCCTCATGTCGAGTTCGCGCCTTTTACGGCGCTGTTTCATCAGCTGGAATCCACCTTCATACACGGCTAAGCTTTTCCGAAAACGGGGTCAACATTCACACACTAGATACATCAAGTGTGCAGAAGGTGAAGCGTGCAGGTCCACTAGGGTAAACACTGCAAAACACAGAGAATTGACGCAGCACCGATGACTTGCCAGCTCTTGCTGCTTTTCCGCCGCAGCCCTTTCCGCTGCTTCTGCAGCATCAGCACTGCCTGCCGCCACCTGTCTCTTGTCTGTGGTTTGTTTGGCTGTTTCCTCCTCGTCTTCTGTTTCCATGGCTTCGTCATCTTGATCAGCGTCCGCACCCTCAATGAGCTTAGCGATAGAGTCCACTTTATCGCCTTCTTCTGCCAACCCATCCGCAGCGGTGCTATCCTCTGCTAACAATGCCTTCGGCAGCTCCTTAGGCACAGACTTGAAGTCGATGGGGGCTGCAAGTGGTAGCCGTTCGTCTTCCTCCGTGAAGTCGATGGTCTCGACAACATGAAAGTCTGTCCACTCTAGCGACATCATCAGCCGCCTTTCTTCCTGTGTTTTGCTTTCCTTTTCCTTGCGCTGCCGAAGCTGCTGCCGCTCGTACATCATGCGACGCCGCACCCGTGCCAAGAGCGCCTGGCGATTCCCTGCAGTCTCCTTTATACTCTCGAGCATCTCCTTCTGTGGCAGAAGACACTTCGTATATGCATCCACAAGCGACGCGAAAAAGGAAAACAGATGGTGTGAAGGCTTGAGGAAGGCAAACTGAGGGTTTTGCTGCTCTCGCTGAGCCAAACCCGCCAAGAACTTTTGACCGTTACGAGCCACAAATTGCGCAGCGCAGCGGATGATGTCCAAATCTATGGGAGCCACCCACGGATGCTGTAGCACGAACTGGTGTGGGGGAGGAGGCTCAATCTGTTCCTTGTTAGCTTCTTTCTCACTCTCCCCTATCTGCGTCAACATCAGCAGCTGCTGCTGCTGTTGTTTCTCCTGCTGCTGTTTCTGCTGCATGTCTCGAATGGCCTGAGGCACCTGCGGAGTCGGCGCAGCTTCACCCGTGGTGAACTCTCTGACCTTAAGCTTGTAGAAGGCGTGGTAAGGATTGTTTGGTAGCAAGAAACCAAACTTTGTGGCGCTCTGCTCCCGGAGCACGCGAGACTCGAACTCTGCCCCATTTTTTGCCACAAACTGTGCCGTCTTCTCGATGACACCCCTCATATCTGCGGGTGGAAATATAAGGTCAGGATGGGGGGTTCCTGGTGCACCCACATCGGAAGTCCCTACCCCCGAGGCGACAGATGCGCCAGGTCCAGTGGGGGACCCGGACGGGCGCTGAGTAGGCTCCACTGCAGCGCTCATTATCAAAATATGAGGAAGGACGGGACAAGATGGAGAACGAGAAAAAAATTTAGCACAAGGGAGAGCTGAAAGCTGTGCTGCTGCTGCTGCTGCTGGTAATGTTGCTGGTATTTTGGAAAGCAGTTGGCGCGCCAAGGATCCCTTTAAAGGTGATAAGTTTCAATGAGAATAAAAATTAGAAGGTCGAGAAACTCAAACAGAAAGTGGAGAACTTCCTACGGCAAATAAACAACAGCGGTTCCTGTTGTTGTGCCGCCGCCGTCGTCGCAACAGTAGCAGCAACGTGCGGGAGGCACGGGGAAACCGCGTGCCCTGAATGCCCTCAAAACATTAAATCCAACTCAAAAGGACAAGTTCCCAGGACAATAGCACTAACAAAAACCCCAGTCCAAACGAGGCCACTTGGCAGACCAAGGCCAACAGCACAAGCAGCAGCAGAGCAATTGCTGCAGCTACTGCAGCCCTGCTGCCGCTAATGCATGCGGTGCCAGCTTGACTCGAGGCAGCGGCTTCTACGCATCGGCAATATGGAATGCCCACACTAGTTTTCATCCTGGAAACAAATGTTATTTAATCTAGATAACTTCATGAGTTACTTCTTGCGTCTGCGAGTAGTTGGTATGTACAGCACCTGCTGCCCCAACGCAGACAGCCGCCCCCAGAAGACAGGGGGCGTCGCTTTTGATCATTTTCGTAATAAAATACGAATAAGACACGTACAAGAGTGAGACTGTCGTCCGTAAAATTGCTCTGTGTACGGCTTGAACGCCTTCGCCTTTGACGATAAGCAAACGGACGATAAGCAAACGCCGCCTACGTACACGAAGATGCCTCAGAGGAAGCGCCATGGCAAACAACACCACCAACAGCAACAGCAACAGGAGCGTCAGCAACAGCAGCAACAGCAACAGCAACATGAGCGTCAGCAACAACACCAACAGCAGCAACACCAACAGCTGAGGCAGGATGTGGAGAGACAGCAGCTGCGCGAGGTCAGAAAAAACGAATCACGACCGCAACACAAGGGCGAGGACAGGCATGCGCATCTTCAGCACCAACAGGAGGATGGACGACAGCAGCCCTCACCGAAGGATACTGGACTAGCAGACGCCGCTAACGGCCTGGCGGTGATTTGCACTGTTGTTGTTGCTCGACATGCCCTAGACTCACCACACTGCAGCATCGCCGGACGTTAGGAATTTTGAGTCTTAGTGGACTGCCCTGGCATCCTAGTTACCCTCCTTGACTTCTTCATGCTTCTTAGTGCACCTTTCAGGGAACAGTAGAAGGCTCCTCGTAGCATCACGTTGTCGGAGACACAACCCTGACGCAAGGGAAGCTTGAATTTCGGGTTTACCGTGGAGGCATCAGTGGTGCTTGGACTTGGGATTGTCGTGTGAGGCAACCCATTCATAACATTTGCTGCTTCATTTTTCAGGAAGAGGTCCACCGGCGGCTTCGCGTCTGCAGCGCCAATGCCATTGACGTTGCCAGCGCTCAAATGTACGGAGAGGGCCCTGATGGTTGTCCTACATTTGTCCGCTGCAGTGGGTCACAGGTAAAGACTACTGATTTCTGAGAACGAGGCGCAGAAGGGCCTTCTGTTAGTGAGGCAGTAAACTGGCTACACCGGCAGGTGGAGTGGCCAGCTGCTGACAAGAGTTTTCAAGGCGTTGTACAGTTACCGCGGCGTCTAGCCACCGTTTTGATTCATTCCAGTCTGTGATTTGTGCTGTTGCATTTGCAGAGGGTCGTAGACAAAAAACGCCGTCTACTCATCTCCTGGGCACCCACGACGCAGCTGCCCCCAACGGCAATCCCCGTCGACTCACAGCCGGCCCTTGAATTCTACTCCCCTTCAGGCATCAAAGCCCTACGCACAAACCAACCCTAAGCCCAAACCCACCCTGTACCATAATTATTTCTATTGCTTTTCCGGACGCAAACTGTGGGGAATGGACCCTGGCCAGCATAGCGCTTGCCCCCTGCATGCTCTATGACTGGCGTTTATTCTGTCATTCCCAGAAATGATTATGTCTTGTCATCGAGTTTCCTGCATGTAGGGCCGGGCCCATCTACAGGGGCTAAGGAGAGTGGCATACTTGCTCTTTTGCTCAGGATTGTGTGCTTCGCTTTTGCTGACTGTGCTGTCTTGCCTTGATTGCGTTAGGGTTTAGTGTGGAGTGTACCGGACTCTTTGAATGTCATGTGCTATGTTGCAGGGCAGTTCGTAGCGCAGGTGACGTCCGTACCTCCTCCGGAGAACAAGGGAGTATCTAGTGGTGGTGGAACCTCTGCAGCCCCTTTGCATCGGCTTGAGGTTTGGGGCGCAGCTGGCACGGGAGATTTGGGATGCGCCATGTGCCTGTTTGCTCCCCACGGCATTCCTTGGCTGAGCCCGTACGGGGGCGGCTGTTTCTGCTCTCAGGACGAAAACCTGTGGGCCGCATAACTCTCCCGTGTTGCCGTTAGTGCGGTCATTTCACCGATTGTTGCATGGTCTAACCGTCTTGCTTTTGGCCTGCCAGTTTTGCCTTATCTTTTTGGGAGACCGGCATTGCCGTCATCACTGAATGCATCAGTTCCATTGCATGCATTTGCTTTGCTGCGTGCATTGGCACTTCTGCATGCGCACCTCTATAGGGTTGAATATGCGAATAGTGCTGTAAAACACGCTTTGTCAACAAGCAGCCGAAGGCACAGATTTTCAGAGGATCTTGCTTGTCTGCTATTAGGCTTTTGTACGTGGCGGAGACTCCACAAAAGGACGCGTGCCCGCCTTTAGACAATTATCTGTACAAAGACACTTGGGGAGAACAGTTGCTGCAGCACTCTCGAGGCAGAGTTGTCGTAGGCAGTATAACGCCTCCCACCCTGGTACCACTACAGCCCAGGCAGAGGTCCGCCAGCTATGCACAGGTCAGCGACGACCCACAATGTGTACTACCGAGTATACTGCTCCGGAAGTGGATCTTCCAACATTTTGTTTCCTTTTTTATGCTGCTTCACATTCAGTATGTACTGCGCGCTTAGTTCGCTCGATGTAGGGTTCATAGTGTAGGGTTTGCAGTCTACTGATTGTCTTTGGAGACCTTCAGGCATCTTTCGTCCCGGATGGGTCTGCTGTAGTCTGCACAGAAATCCCGTCCGAGCCGTACAGGTGAGTGCCAAGACCTATTCGTGGGGTTCTGCGTGCAGTAGGTCTGCGGGCTAGAGGTACAATAGTTATCTTACCCTATTTTGTAAGATTTTGTCGTGGAGACTCGAAGTTTATCTGTGTGCTTGCGAGCATGTTGTGGTGACAGACTTGGGCTCAAGTTCTGCATTAACCGCCGATCAGCTGTCTTTCTTGCGGACTTCCCCACTGGAGGCGTCGCGAGGGCCCTGCGTGCGTTGGGAGCTTCTGACAAGGTCCCGCAGGGTCCCCTCCAGCCGACATGGTTGCGGATTTCGGACGAAGAAGATTGGGCAGCGTGGGAAGCGAGAATTTGCGACTTGCCTTCGCATCCGCCGGGGCCTCTTCTTGCATTCGAAGTTGTCTACTTGGCGCTCTCAGATGACTCCAAGGTTCGCTGGCTTTGCCATATTGTAGTTAAGCGTAAACCGTTGAACCCAATCATATATTTGGGACCTCGGAAGTGATGTGAAGCCGTGCGTTTGTGATTATTTTGGGGTGATCGTGTAGGAGAAACGCCCTCATTTCGGAAACGCCCGCCTCCGAGTGGCTATCGTGGCTCGGGAAAACCCGGAGTCCCCATGGGTTGTGAAAAGTAGAAAGACCTTAGTCAGCCCGAGTCCTTCATCGAGCTTTCAAAGCCGTCATGGGAAGAGCTCTGAGGCCTCCAATGGTGAATTTGCCCCCACAACGGTTCAGTCCGTGTGCGTGGCGGGGCCTCAGAAAGAGTCTTCTAGCGTAGCAGCTGCTCATTCCCTGAAGGCATTTGAGGGCCTCTGCTGCACACAGCTGCCTCCGTGGAGGAGCCGAGGGTTTCTTGTGATGAATACATTTAGAGGTTGCCGTCAGACGGTTGTGGCTATCCCTACAGGCTTGCAAGGTACCTATTTACCAACACACAGCTTCCTATGGCCCGTAGGGACGTCTTATAAGCGTCGTTTTGATCACATGGGCATAATTTGGGAATATTGCTTTGGCGCAGATTACCCAGTTGCGCGTGTTGTTTTGAGGATGCTACGGATAAGGTCTGTGCGCTGATATACTGCAGCTGGGGAAGCCCGCGTCAAGAGAGTCCAGTTCGAGGGTGCCCACGGACCGAAGGCGCCGGCAGATGTGAAGGCAGCAGTAGCCGCAGCTACAGTTGGTGATGTGCTACTGAGGGACATCCGCGGCCCTTGGCTTCTTATTCAAACCAGCAGCCCAGTGCATGCGCCAATCTTAGCCATTGCAAAGCTGCGGGAGCTCAGTTTTAATGAAGAGGAAGGAAGCGATGGCGATTCACTGGGCCCTCCGCATGTGGCAGAAGTCGTTGATGCAGTTTCCCTGAGAGGAGGCTCTCAGGGGGCATTCAACGGGGTGAGGCGGTGACCGCTTTCGACTTGCGCACTTGCGAGCTCTGCAGAATTGAGACTTCTGACAGTGACTGCTTTTGCCAGTGTTGTTTTTCTTCTGGGGTTCTTCCTGCACTTGCCTGTTCCGTGTGTCTTGTTGGGCATTTTGATTGAACTTTGCCGTCGAGAGGTAACAGGTTTCCCTTCGTTTACTGCGTTGTGTCAGGCTGTGAAGAAGCTGCAGCTACACATGTTAACACTTTCTCTATATCATTTGGACCATCAGCGGCACTGGTTGGTGCGGCTAGGCCGTCCGCCGAAGGGCCCCGAGGAGCCTAGCTTGGCAGTTCTTATTCATGGGGGTCCCCACTCCTGCGCGAGCTGCATGTACAACAGAGACGTTCTGTTTCTCACGACTTTGGGCTTTGACGTTTTGGTTGTCAATTACCGGGGCTCAGCTGGCTTCGGCCAGGATGAACTCGTCTCTTTGCACGGTCAGTTCGGAGGCCTTTCGTGGCTGAAATCGCTTTTCTCAAATGCCTTAGCCGTGTTGAGGTGAATTCATAAAGATACGTGCCTCAGATTTTAGAGTTTCTCGATCGTACCCAACTGGTTAAAATTATTTTTAAAGCGCCTCGTGTCGATTTGATGTGCTTCACTTTACTCAAGTAATGCTTTAATAAGGAATGCCTGCGACGCTTTGAACTCAGGGCGGGCAGGGCGGCAAGACGTTGAGGATGTAGCGCAGATAGTGCAGCAAGTGATCAACAAGTGGGGCATCTGGGGTCCAGTCTGTATCTCCTTTCCCACCAAGCACCATTGATAGCGTGCTGTACGCACCCAAATAGTAGTTGACATACAGCGAAATTGTGTTTAGAGCTGTTGCACACACCAGCACGAGAGGGATTTGTGCCTTGAAGGGAAGGAAGCTTTTGTGTGCATGAGCTGCAGATTTGGTTATGACAGCAAACGCTGCGCTGCAGTCGGTGGGTCTCATGGGGGTTTTCTCTGCTGCCACCTCATTGGCCAGGTGTGTATGATCTCAGCATTGCCGTCAACATTGTCTAAGCTGGCTTTCGTTTGCAGGGCGCATTTGGCTGCCTTACATGGGCTCCTGGTGTCTGTAGTCCTTGCTTAAAATCTGTGCCACGTCTCATTTGCACCAGTAGTCAAATCTTTGGACTACTTGCTGCGAGGCGCTCTTTACGTTCTTCTGTCTTTTGTTCAGTTCCCTAAACTCTTTAGCGCCGCGTCGACACGAAACCCCGTGACATATGTCCCAGGGATGTACACAGCCTCTGATATACCAGGTGTGTCGGGGGGAAAGTCGAGAACAGTTCTGGTTCTCTTTCACTGGGAGTTATGGTTTGTGGGATTGTTACTGAGCTGCTGTTGCACGTGTTGTAGCGTTGCAGCTCCGAATAATAAATATTCGAAGCTGTTTAGTCTCTGCAGATGCCACTATTCTCCCAGTCTGCGCGATCGGCCCTACTAACTGTTAGCGGGTCACCGTGTTTGTCCTACATGGCTGGCTCTTTTGGCATCTATTCTGCGGCCAGTGCGCCGTTGCTTTTTAAGACCCGTCGGCACTTTCGTTCTGTTTATCTTTTATACTCGTTTTACTTTATGTTCTCATGCACTTATTTGGCTGTTCCAACGAATGGCACAGTGCTTCCTGTTGGTACCTCCAGTTTCTCTGGCTAGTCCTCTTATCTTTTCTTGCCACAGATTTCGTCTTTCCGGTTTCGTGCGGCGAGGACTTTGATTTTGCAAAAATGCCCTCAGCCGAGGCACTCGTGAAGATGCAGCGGCTGTCTCCGACTGAGTTTGTGGGCACAGTCCAGACACCCCTTCTCCTGGCTCTCGGGGCTAAAGACCAGAGGGTATGAAGATGGCTGTTTCACCGACTGGCACAGTGCTTCTTTGTGTGCTTATGCATATGCATTAGTTTTATCTTCATATCCGTTCGTAGCAGTCTCAAAAGTGCCATAGAATGCTTTGGCTCCAGTTCCAACTTCCACTGAAGAATTCTTGCAATAGCATGTTGAGCCAGGCTCAGACTGAAGGAAGCTGCCTAGTCTTGGTGAAATTCGATTTTGATACGTGTCTGATTGAGTTTCGTTAACCAAATGCAACTGGGTTTAGAAAGCTGCCTGTAAGCATTACTTGTAGCCTCGGGCTGGCCTTTGCATCTGAAGCTATGCATGTTGAAAAGCACATCATATTATGCATCTTCTATGCATGTGCACGCATACATCCACAGTTACTCTCCTAAGCAGATTATAAAATTAAATATGTAGAATCACGGAGCGTGCGCACCAATGCATAGGAGCCTGTGTCTTCGAAAAAGCCGGGTTGCGCACCTGCAGAACAAGGAGGCTCATCTTAAAACTGTGGTGGAGGGCACAGATCGCTGTAGCATGAAGCACACACGCACAGTATCTAACTTTAAATGCCGGACGTGGTCCCAAGCACCGACACTTCTTGTATCGATGTTTTCTACGAAACACGTTGTTGAGCCTCTTGAAGCTTGTTTTTACATTGAGGTCCGTTCAGGTGCCGCCGTCTCAAGGTCTCCTTTTCTGGAGACTACTAAGCGCCCACGGTACGTAATTATTCATCGCCTCCATCCTGTTGAGTCATTGCTGCAGGCCTCACCCGCCTTCGCTGCTTACACATGATGATTGATGATCCTGCTGTTCTTTTTGTTACAGGAAAGAAGAACAAGCTGTTGTGGTATCCGGAGGACAACCACAGCCTTGACTTGCCAGTAACAGATGCGGACTACTGGGCCAACACGGGCGCTTGGTTTTTAGAGCACGTCCCCCAGCCTGTCCTTCCTCCAGTGTAATAATTTTCCGACGTCATCTAGTGTGGCAGTTTCCGCATCATCACATTCTGTTTCTCAGCCGTGCCCTGCGGGTAGCGGAAGCCTAGAACATGGATATCATACGCAGTTCCTAAGTTTAAAGCTCTTTGGGGAAAGGCCGGATGCTTAAGTGGCTAGTTGCGGATAGGAGTGCTGCTGTGAAGGCGTGCCGAGGGAAAAACCTAGATATTTGTTGCTGGATTGGCAGTAGTAGATGCAGTTCTTTACCTGCAGACAGGAAGAAGGAACTCTGGAAGTTCTGAGTTGCCCGATTTTCTCTATACTTTGTACCGCAGAACCGGGGCTTTCCGGGTTGTCGACTGCATGGTTGCGCGATTGAGGGGAAACTTAGGGTCCGCAGTTTTCCTTCTGGCACAACAGAACTGATGCACCGAGTATTTCCCTCGTTGCATGCAGAACGTGATCACTAACAAACTAATGTCGTATCTCAGCAAGCTTATGCTGTGGTATGTTGTAGCTTGGCTGCGTAAGTTTGCCTCGGACACGAATCCATGGTACCATATGCACCATCAGAGCGAAGTGTCAATCTAGCTACTTGGCTGATGCTTATTTCTTTTCATGTTACCGAAGGACCAACACTTAGCATGAACAGATTTACTGATGGGCCGCGGAAATCGTCGTTGTTTAAGAGCTGGCAGTTCACTGTATGTTGTGTAGGACTGCCCTGTACAGCGTAGGACGAATTCTTCTTTGCAGCCTCTGCATCGCATGCTAATTTGACAGCTGTTGTGTCTGTCTCACTTGTTCATAACTGAGGTTTCTAAGGACTTGGTTTCGAGAGCAGTAATGAATGTTCTGCTGCCGGGTAACGAGCTATTAGCTGCACAGATGCTTTTGGGACGCAGTAGGACTCGAGCTGTAGTGACATTAGTGATGCAGACGTAGTAGAATATTATTGTAGAATGCCTTTCTGAGTGACAGAAAGTAGATAATCAATGCGGGCAACATGCCACTCTAAATTGCTGGTTTGCACCAGTGAGGGGTAGGACCGGTGATGGATCAGAACTCGCTTATGGCTTCTTGGTGTTTGTCAAAACAGTGATAAATCGCAAAGTCAGGAACCGCACTAGAAACTGAACCGAAAATGTTGGTTTGGAAGGGGTTCTGGCGGTTTTCACATCCGACAACGGACTTTGGACTGCCTCAGATGTAAACCTTAAATATGGGGACCCACTTACGTACACGCACATCGCGAGGTTGTTTGGGAGGACAGTAGCCTAGCTACGTAGAAGCAACTAAGCCGGAGTAAATCCAAAGAAACTGGGGAGTGCTGAAACAAGTAGTTGCTGACTTTGGGGGTATCGTGCTTTTTTGGGATTCAAATGCAGAAGCGAGAGACATCAGAGAAAGCAGTTCGTTTCAATTTCGCAAGATGTGGCTAAGAGGCACTTGCTAAGCGCTAGCCAGGCAAGGTGGCTCAAGATGACCCAAGTTGGCGCTGACGTCAAACTCTTCATCCGTTGAGGCTGCGCCGCGCAGCTCGAAGTACTGAGGCGCCGCCGTGCCAGCTGCCAGTTTATAGAGGCAAGCGTACTGACCTACATGAGTGGGTCTAAGAGCAGACAGCAGAGAGAACAAGAGGACAAACTCAGTAGCAAGGGCTCCGAAAAACTCACTTTTTATCAACTGACTAGTTTGCAGAGCACGACAGCCAAACAAAGTGCGGCGGAACAAGAGTTCCACAAGGACCACGACCACAGTTCTACTGAGGGGGTTGGCAGGGTTGCCGTGCTACAAGAAACGGACAGGAGCAGACACACACAGCAGCCCTATAGTCTGCCAAATTTTGAATGGAAATATCATGCAGCTTACATGAAGCGTATCCGAATAGAGGCGGTGCTGCTTTCTGCCTTTCTTCCCCCGAGTTTCATGCTCTGCAGTGTCCCCTGTGACGGACTAAACTGAAACGCCCGTGTTGCTTTCACGTTGTCCGCTACCTGAGGCGCAGCAGAGACCCACAAGGGAATGCATGCAAGGGGCCTGAAGTGTAGAGAAGAAAGCAGAAAGCGGAGGAGACAATATGAGTCTGCCTTTTACATGGTAGGCTTTAAGGTGTGGGAAGAGCAAGATACATAAAATTCTGTCTGAGGGTTTCACGGACTAGGCTGATAGACTTGCGAAGGGGAATGCACTGACCAAACCCAGTTGCTGCGTTGCGGTCCCAATGTTTTCCACGTCCTCACTTTCGTTACTGCTGCGTTTTGTGATGCTGTTGCCGCTGTTGCTGTTGCCGCACAAAATGACGCGCCAGTCCACAGCTGTTGTTGAGACAGCCCGTACCTGTAGCACTTTGCTGGGACGCCGTCGGGATTCCACGTGAATGGTTTGAAAGTCTATGACTAGAGGGCGCTGTGGGTCACAATAGGAACACCAACCCCTTTCTCCAGCCGCACCATGCATCTCGGGCGGAGCCCAAAGCAGAAGAAACGCTTGCCTGGATAGTCCTACAAGAGACACAACCTGGGTCCTGTAGGACACTAGAGAAGCAGCAGTTGAAGAAGCTGGTGCTGCTGCAGCGCTTTCATCGAAGGGCTCGCAGGAGCTTTTCTCTGCCAGAAGTGCACAAGCAGCCGCTGAAACTTTAGGCAGAACGGCGTCAAGACGCTGCAGCAGCTTCTGATATTGCAGCAGCAGCAAACTTTGCCCTGCCCCCTGCAATCCTCGCTTGTGCTGTTCCTGTAAGGCTGAAAATCCCAATAGCAAGAGTGTAAGAGGATCCCCTTCTGGCCACAGCACTCGAAGAACGCCTCCCAGCAAGGCTTGGAAGAGGGGCTGCTCTTCTAACGCTTCCAGCTGCGGCTTAATCTGCTGTTGCTGTAGCTTCTGTATGAGCAATAACAGACGCTTCAGCATAGAATTCTTGCTGGTGCTTCCTGACGGCTGAGCCATTGGATATGAAATAAGCAGTTGACCGGAACAGCAAGCGTCTCCTTTGGCCATTGCTTCACTTGTTGGAGGACATAACTCCACAGCCAGCCGGAGCTGTTGGTGTCTCTGGACTGTGAATGTCTGCACAAGAAGCAGCAGCATCGAAGGGAGCAGGAGTTCTACAAGCACTAGCAAGGCCAGCAGCAAAAGCAACGGCAAGCCCAGCAATAGCAGCAGAGCACCGTCGCTAGCATCAGAGCACCAACGAATCCATGACCAGCCACAACAAAAGCAGCGCCATTTCTCCACACAGCTTCGTCAAGATTCCTCTTTTTGTCCTTTGCTCATGCGTGGCTGAACAAACTGACGTTCTGAGCCAAAGCTAAAGATTTGAAAGACAAATGTTTCTCCTGGGGCCCTGCTCAACCCACCATCTGCTCCTGGACTGGCGCGACAAGGTTCTGCTGCCGCTGACACCCTGTGTGCTGTATTCGCTCTTTTTGCTCTTGTGGCTGCTGCTGCAGCTCGGCATTCACAAGTTTGAACGATCTTCCCTTTACAGAAACAGAGCAGGTGACGGAATGACAGTGGCTTGCTGGCTGCAGGATCACTTCCTTCTGGATAGAGACAGCAGTAACGGGCCAGCCTGCGCTACCCACGTTCTCGCTATCCGGTAATGCTGCCTCTTCCGACGCAAACCACAAAGTTCGGAGCCCAGTTGTGTCTTCTTTTGTTTTCTTTTCTGTTCCTGGTTCTGCTGCTGTTGGCTCCATTGGTGCTGTGGGGCTTTCTGCGCCAAACGTCATGCGGAGACTAGGCAGCCGCGTCTGGATTGTGAAGTCGACGATGAGAGGGGTAGCAGCAAGCACTGTAGGGACTCTCAGACAAGCCCCACTACCGTGAGCAACTCCAGAAGGTGCCGCATCAGCAGGACCCGCTGCAGCATCAATGGTTTCAGGGGTTTCAGCAGGGATGCCAGCGGTTTGGCTTTGATAAACAGCTTCAAAAGTGTCATTAAACAGTGAACGCAGAGGCTGGTTGGGAGGCTGTTTAACAGGACAACTTGAGGGGTTGACGTCTGTACAGCCCAGGAACCGCTTCTGCAATTGATGTTGTCGGCACACTGTGTCACTCGTTTTGCTTTCTGGACCAGCTGCTGATTGTTCAGATTGTGTCTTTCCCATTTTCGGATGTCGTCGACCTGAGAAAATGCAAGCCATGGTGGCCTTTCCCTCGACAGGGCATGCGTCGCGAGCAGCAGCAGCTCCTGCTGTTTTTCCTGTTTGTGCTGCTTCCGTAGAGATGGGGACCGCAAAGCCCACAGCTCTGAGTCTGTGATACCCTGGGGAAGTCTGGAGAGCCCCACAGCAAAGAGACACCTCGATAGTGCCGTAAGGAGCCAATACGAATTCGGAGGGCTCCATGCGAGGCATGGCAATACCCTTGTGACAAGATGCCACACTAGCTATTGCAGGCTCTGCTACTTCTGCTAGGGCTGCTGCTTCTACTGAAGCAGTTGGTTTTGTGCTCTTCATGGCTGGACAGCGAAGCATCCCATCTGCATTGAAACTCGGCTGCGGTAGCTCGGTGCTGCATCGTCTGCCTCTTGCACTCCAGGAGTTGTCGCAACTGTGCAACAACGATGTAGTTGCACTGCCCTGTGTTGAAGCAACCGCTTTTATTGTCCGCTCACCCGCTGCGTGAGCAGTCAACCCTGTAGGGCTCGCCTCGGCATCGCCATAAACACGTACAGCTGCCTCGTTGACCTGACCTGCTCGCTTTTCTGCTCTTGATTGCAAGTCTGTCTGGGGTCCCGTCAGGGCTGCGGTTTTCTGGGAGCGCAGCACTTCCGCTGCGGCAGCAACAGCCCGGGTTTCAGGTGAAAGAGGCATCATGTCTGACACCAGACAATGCTGAGGGGGGAGCAGCTCAGCGTAGCGGTCGGCCCATGCAGCTGCTGCTGCTGCATTTGCTGTTGGTTTCTCCTCTGAGCTCGTAGGCAGTGTTTCTTGTGCGCTGCCTGGTACTGCTGATGATGGTGCCAATGCATCTGTTGACACCAAGTCAGCGAGACCATCTCTTCGAGCACCGAGAGAAGGGTCTTGTAGAACACCGTCAGGTCCTTCCTGCGGGGCAGTTGCAGCTTTGCTTACTACTGCAGATGCGGCAGCTTCTCCTGCAACTGCCTTTCTATCTGTCTGCGTTAGTGGATTTGGTGAAGCGTATAATGACGGGTGTTTCCGGCTGTTTTCGAGTTCGAGAGTTGTATTGGGTAGAGGCTCTGTCGCTATTACATCTCCATCTGCCGCTGCTGCTGAGGCTTTTGCGGGTGTTGCCGCTTCCCCCAGAGCTTTCCATCCAACGTTTGTCTTCAGTAAGCCAAATTCAGCAGCGGCGGCCGCCGCTTCTGTAGCCCTCATCGAAGCTTCCTCAGCAGCAGCTGCAGCTGCAGCCGCTGCTTCTGCTGCTAGTACTGCTAGGTCGGGAGTTTTGGCTGGCTGTGACCTCTGTGGCTTTCGGCTGGGTGCAACAGTCGTAGGTGCAGCAACGGAAGTGGCTGCTGCTGCTGCACCCACTGCTGCTTCTGCGGCTGCTTCTGCTTCGCACGCCGTCCCGACCACACGCTGGCGCAGTGCCTCAATGGCTGCTTCCCGCAAGGTGGCAGCTTGCTGCAGCTGCCTCTCCAATTTCTGCTGCATTTCCCAAAGGCCAATGTCAAACAGAATCCAATTAACGTGCAGCCACTTGCTGCTGCTGTTCTCTATTCTAAAGGTTATGCGCTGCTCCTTGTCCCCCTGTTGGCATTGCTGCTGCCGTTTCTGCTGAGTCGTTGTGTCTGCTACAGCTGCTGCTGGCTCGGCAACCTGCGGGTCTTTGGCAGCCATTTTGAGGAGCATGAGCTTCGTTTTGGTTCTATAGCTAGTGAAATTTGAGTGCTGCTTCTGCTGTAGCTGCTTCTGTCCCTTCTCTACCATGGAAGGCTGCTGTAGGGCAATCTGGGCAGTTATGAGAGGTGGCATGGAGTCCCGGAAACGAAGACATTGCTGGGGTGAAGGGATCTGCAACAAGGGACCCCTCACTGGGACTTTGAGAGGTATAAGTGTTACAGCTTGGCGTTGCACCAGTTGCTGTTGTTGCTGCAGCTGTTGCGGAGATGGCAACGATGGCTCCAGTGCCAGCCTCAGGGCTGCGTCAAAGTTCGCGGGAAGAGAAGCAAGCATTTCTAGGGCAAGCAATGCAGCTTGTTGCTGCTGCAGCACGCAACTGCTTTCAGGGTGAGGAATTATCACCAAGCCTTCATCGGTAACCCTCAGCAGCTGCTGCCGCCGCTGCCTTGCTGCTGTCATCTGAAGTGCACGTACACCAGCAGCAGTCTTAAACGATGGTCGATCTGCATGAAGCGAGCCCAGAAACGAATGCTGCATCTCAGAAGGAGCAGCAAAAGAGGCTGCTTGAACTAATAGGGCCTCAGCAGACAGATAGTCTGAATCAAGAACTCCACCAGTCCTGCCCTTAGTTCCGCTGGTATTATTGTGGTCCCTGGCGCTGCTGCTACTGCTGCTGTCGCTGCTGCTGTTTGTACAGTAGGTGAAGCATGCGTCTGTTTGAGCAAGCCAAGACGACAGGATTTCCCTGCTGCTGCTGCTTCCCACTTCGTTATAGATTTTGCTGCTACTGCTGCTACAGTCTGGGCACATGAGTGTGCCCACTGGTCTGCCATCCTCACAATATGATGGGTGCCGTATCCGTTGCTGCCGCAGCATCGGTTCCTGCTGCTGCGTTTGCTGCTGCTGGTGAGCACTTGTCAAAGCGTCCAGCCGGATTGTGGTCTTGATGGGCGAATCATTTATAGCCAACAAATAGAGAAAGGAGCTTTCCCCTCCCACAGTTAAGGCTGGAAGCTCCACCTCTGGTGCCCTTTCGCTACTGTGAGGCGCCGAATCCCACTGCTGCTTCAGAACGCCCCAAGTGCCGATGCCGGCAGCCTTAAGTGTTGCAGCGACACCTTTTGGCCTTTGTTGCACTTCATTTTCATCTTCAATGCGAGGTGACGCAACGCTGCTTGCTCTGCTTCTGCTACTAATGCCGGCCCCTAAAAGATCTTGCCCATGCAGACAGACGCCTTGCTCGTGCTGTCGTTCCTCCTCCGTGCCTTTTTGCAAAAGAGCGTTGAGTGCATGCTGGTGTTGGACAGACACTTTCATACCTTCCTGGGGCAACCGCTTCTGCTGCAACAGTGAAGCGGCGGCTTTGAGCTGTTGCTCCGTAAAAAGAGCATACGTAATGGATGCCCCGCTGCACGCAGCCGCAAATGTGACTTGCAGGGGCAGCATCAGGCCAGCACCTTGACAATAGGCCTTCACCACCAAACAAGGGGAGGCAAGGATACCTAAGCAGGAGACATCTAAAGAGACGAAGCTCCGACTCCCCACAATACACTCAGCGGGAGACACAGTTACTAGCAAGCCGCAGGGGCCAAGTGCGGCAGGTGTGGCCGTAGGCGGAACAGTTCTCTCCGCCACTTGTTGCTCTTCCTCCTGCTGTAGCACTAGCTGCTGAGATGCCGTATCTCCCACTTGTGTAGGTGAATTCCAGCAGATCTTGATGGGTATGTCTCCGTCATTGTATACTGTAAGCTGCTGCTTCAGCAGCAGAGGCCGCAGCAGGAACAATGGCGGCAGATTTACAGTGTGACTGCTTAGGCGCAGGCGTGGCAGTGAAATTTTGGCTTTAAGAGAAACAGCAACAGGTTGGCTGTCTTCCAGCGTCTCAACCTGCAAAATGAAACCAGTCTGTACTGCATGCTTGTCAGATAGCTCACCTTAGCCATTGCCTCAACGCCTCAAGGCGTACACAGCAGGTGAGGCTTACTAAAATAAAGGTGTCCAGAACTTTAGGGTGAGACGCCCGAATCGTCAGCAGGAAGATGCCTTCTTCGCCAGGAGGTAGCAGGACATACGACGGATATATCACTAGCTGTCCAGATAGACCAACCACCACCAAGTCTTTCCGCTCCTGCTCCAGCTGTTGTTTGCGCTCCTTGTGCTGTAGTCGCCACGCAGCCAGCTGTTGCTGTAGGGCCAGGTGTTGCTGTTGGACTGCGCAAACATTCTCTGCAACAAAAAGAGTCCGCGGTATTGCAGCCGCCTGACCATTTGCTGCTGACCCGGAATTTACCTCACAGCTTTACAGCTCTTCGCAGGGTTTTCAAGCAGTATGGTCTAAAGTTAAGTGGACACGGAAGCGCATGCTTCGCATGCTTTTTACCACTGACAATCACGCACCTTCAAACTCGCCTTCTGAATCAGAAGAAACCTGCTTAGCATCAGCTGCAGCTGCTGCAGATGCTTCGGCCTCAGCTGCAGCAGCATCTGCTGCGTTCAGTGGGTCACGAAGAAAAGGCTCACAGCAAAGCGAAGACTCGTCTACGCAGAGGCACTTGGTGCAGCAGCGCACCGTTGCAGACGGTTTGCTGGATCGTGCCTCACAGGCATCAGCGCTGCCTGCTGCTGGCGCTCTGGTTCCGGCACTTTTAGCCTCCGTCGTTGCCGTTCCTGCTGCTGCTGCTATGCTCATGATTGTGTCTACAGCTTTTTCAGGCTCCTCACTTGGGGCTCTGATAAGTGAAGAAATGAAATGACAGGGAAAAGCTCCCGGAAGCATATCCTCCGGAGGCCGAAGGTGTTGTGCTGCTGGGGAAGAAACCTCGTCAGCAGTTGCGAAGCGAAGGCGGACAGCGGCAGGGGCTTGAGAAGTGTTGCGAACGAGGAGGGCTCGACTAGTCCGAGTATGAGCGCGCACCTAGCACAACGCGGACATATTCACAGAAACAGACAAGCTGCTCCATTACAGCTCTGCTACCGTACTGGTGCTGCTATTCTTTCACGTGCATCTGCTGCTGCTGCTGCTTAGACTCGCTGTTCCTGGCGAAGCATGAAGCTAGGTCAGTATCAAGTAAAAGGCCACAAGGAGACTGACCATCCCAAAATCAATTTGTGGAGGCCAAAAGTGAGACACTCGAGGGCCAAATACTTCAATACAAAGGGGGAACACCAAACGTAACTGCTCTTCGCAACCGTTCGCTGCAGGGGCTCCTGTTGCATCGGAAAGAGGAGCCAACGTCGGAATATCCGTCTCTTTGGGTGGAAACACGGAAAGAGGAACATCCATGGACATAGTACCGCAGCAAAGCGGCAGCAGCCTCATGACAAGCTTCCCCTTCGCTCCTGGAGAGACAACGTGTTGTTCTTTACTTGCCACGCAGAAGTAGCCAAAAGGCTGAGGGCTCTGCCCAAAGATCTGAAGGAAAACCATCAAAGCCATCTTCAACACTGGTTACGTATCCAGTCTCAAAGGAGCACGAGAGCAAGGTGGGCAGAGGAAGGGGAAAATGAAGGGACAAAGGCAAAAGCTTGCCGCATCTGTTTCTTTCTCAAGTCCTTCGATTTCGTCCTCTTCAACGCGAAGAAGCCACGCAGTTTCCCATTCATTTCCAGTGGAGGCGTTGTCGCTGCTGCTGGTGCAGTTTGTTGTTCTGGTACGGGGGCCACTTAGCCCACTACTGCCGTTATTGTGCTTAGCGCCTCTCCAGCGTACTTTCAGTGCCCGAAAATTAGGGTGTACAGACAGCCAGACGTCAGCGAGCCCCTCATTCTTAAACCTTAAGACTACACTTTGTACTGCGCATGGCCTCATACGTTTAGTGGTAGGAGATTCCAACTTGTCTCCAGCGGTACCGCTGCCTAAGGCCACCACCTTTGGCTGAGTCACTCTGACACGCTGCTGAAGACGCAGCAGCTGCCACTCCTTAGGGCTTTTGTCTCCCGCAGCCTCCAAGCACTCCATATGTATCAGTTTTCCACCCCTTTCAGCGTTATGGCATCTTGAATCCGGCTCTGCAAAGAGGGGTGTCCAGCGCACTTTGAGCTCCGTCGGGTCTTCTTCCCCAGCTCTTCCCTGTTCTTTGCTTTTAACAGTGTCACTCTCTTCGCATTTATCTGCGTTATCTTTTTCAATTTTTTCTTTCACCCCATTCGTGGATGAGAGGCCGTGAGCACTCTCTGGGCACGCAATGGCTTGCGGAGAGAGGAGAGCGCCGGAAGAAACATTTACAATCTGCAGAGAAAAGCGAAAAACAGTTTTGAATAGGTAAGAGAGAGGATATATTTCGTAAACACGATGGGACGTAAGCAAAGACTTAAATCAACGGGGTGCATCAGCAGAGAGATGATACATACCCAAAGAGAAAATTCGAAGGAGAATAACCCACTTCTGCTACTGCGGTTATCTGGCAGCGTGGTCGGCAGCATCCGTGGGTTCACTGCAAAACAAAAGGAGCGGCTTCCTTTTGGGGGAACGACAGCCTCCGATGGCGAAACAGAAAATGCACAGCATAGTTCTGAAATATCATTTGCTGCTGGTGGTGCTGTGGCGGATGCTCTCTGTAGTTTTGCAGCATGACGCCAGAGCACATGTATGGGCAGCTGCCCTTCGTTGCAGAGCACGACAGAACGGAAGATAGGGGGGCCGCCACGCTGCGAGATAGCCGAAAGCAAGTAAATGGTGCGGCATATAAATTTTTTTGGTCAGATATCTGATGACGCGCAAAGCAGTAGACGGCATGCCAAAAACGTTGTACAGAAATTAGAAGTCCGCTACAATGGCCTACCAAAGAACAGCCAAAGTCCATAATGCGAGGTAGTAGGCATCTCACGGCCTGAAACAGCTGGGCTTCGGTGAAACGAACATAATCTTCCATTTTACGGCCCACTGGTGCCAATACTTCTGCTGAAATTTCTCCTGTTGAAGCTGCTGTCTTTACTTCTTCTGCTTTAAACGCACTGTGTGGGTGACCACCGGATTTCGTAGCAACTGATTCTGCTGCCATCAGCCCTGGCAGGAGGCAGAGTTCAGGCATAAAGGAAAAAGGGAGGTGTGAGGGCCACTGAGTGCCACAGAATTCTTTAAGGGTCAGTGCAGCTGCCTCTGCGAACCCCCGGAGTTCAACTGTAGCAAGAATGTTTAGCTCTTCTCCATCAGGAGCGTATTGGGCTGCTGATATGAGTTGCAAAGACGCAGAGAACTGTCCCGGTTTACTTGGAGTAAACCGTAACATAAGCGAAGCCCCTCTGTCCCCCCGAGTCAACAAGAAATCCTCTCTCAACACCGTAAATACTTCTTCACAATCCTCCAGCCACTCAGTGTAAGGCACTTTCGCGGACTCCTTAAGAGTAAGAGGTGCTGCTTCTTGAGGCTGCCTTTTTGTGGATAAAAAGGGGCAACAAGACACAGCTCTCTCTTTGCTTCCGCCTGGAGCATGTGGAGATATCAAAGCCCTTACAGTCCCCTCTCCTCCCTCATTTTGCAGACACAGTCTGAAATTCGCAGACCAAAATCTAGCCTCGAAATGAGGTCCCCTGCTCTTTTAACACTGGAGCAAAACTGTTTAGCAGTGCTCAAGGTTTGTCCCCTGAGTCTGCTTAGCCTTGGCATTCTCAACAGGAAGAATTCAGGAAAGGAAAATCACGAAATATCCTAGGGAACAAGCCTGATTATGAGCGAGACAATCCAGATTCGGCGAGGAGCTTATGCTGAGCTACCTAGCAATCAGGCCCCTGCCAAGGAAACAACGTATGTTTCCCAGTTTAACAAAGCTTTGAATAACGCTATCTCTGCGTGCGATATGCCGTGTTGTGCTATGCAGTAGAAATTCTTACTCCATTGCAACTGACTCTCCCGGGCGCGCGGCGCCAAAGTCTAACACGCGAGGTAAAGAAAACAACGAAGGGGGCTCTTTGCGGGCTAGAAGCTGCACAACATTTTGGCAGGTCCAACAAATGCCCCTAGAAATGGAAGAAGGCAGTATTTGTGCCCGCCGCCGGCGTCGCCGGAAATGATTTCAATCGGTGGAGAAAGCATTGTGATGTGAAAAGTCACAAGTGTTCAATGGAATTTGTTGCTCTCATGTGCTTATTCTTGCTTGTACAAGATTTGAAATGCAGATTCTACAGAGCATACAGGGAATCAATGGGACGGCATCGATCCCAAAATGCTGCATTGCTCATGAATTGCAGCGTTGAAATGCAGAGGGGAACAGTTACCGGTATTGCGAATGCGCCCTTCTCTGTGTGGAGCTCCAGCAGGCCCGTCGCCTCCGGTGCGGAAGGCGTTGGGCAGAAAGAAACCCAAACCTACAAAGCCATCAACCCAGCAAGTGAGAATTCGCCCTTTTGAAATGAGTGCTTGCCTGACGAGGAAAATCAAGCAACGCGCATTAAGAAAGAACAAGTACGCATCCATGGCTAGCACATTTTATTCAGCAAGAGGCCCTGTACTCGAGGCCTTGTAGTGGCTTCATTGCAGATTTGTGTCGCCCACCTCCTTTGTACTTTATACCTGAAAGATTAATTGCGCAAACTGCACCGTGTGCCTACCTGAACGCACATTCCAGTCGCTACAATTCCTGAGACACGTGGGTTTGTTTGCTCTTCGCGGCAGCTGCCAGCAAGTGAATCCAGAAGGACGCCACCTCCCGGGTACTTTGGCAGGGAAATTCGAAACGGACTTTTCGGGTCGATCTCTAATCTCATGCGCCTCCCAACGCTTTCACGATTGCGCAGAGTCACCTTCTTCGTGTAAGTGACTCCTTGAACCACTTTGTCAAATACCTGCACTGACAGTTGCACACTCCTGGCGCGCGTTTCGAGAAGCTCTCGAAACGCGCGCCCAACTAACACAATACTTTCTTGAGGTGCATTGCCGGCAAGCACTCCCTTCACCTTCGTTCACCGCACAGGAACTCACTATGCGTTCCGGAGTGACTGCGAACGGGCATCCGTCGGACGAATTCATTGCTTCAAATCTTGGGTTCTTCAGGCACAGGCGGCCCTTCATAAGCTGATCCTGGCCACCCTTACATTCGTTTTTCTTGCTAAAGAGAGTACTTTCCTGTTGTCGAGTAGCGCATTGAAAAGGAATAGTCCAATTCTATGAATACAAGACTAATCAGCATCCAATAAGGGAATATTTCGTCGTTCCTCTGACCTCACTTAGTACTACACACACTACGCAGACTCTGTAGGCAAATGCCTACGCAAGCATGCATGACAGGGACAAATTGTGTTGTACGGTGCTACTGAATTAACTGGCGGACCTCGGATGCTCTTCTCATTGACGTGTGTGAACTTCGAGGGTGCCCGGTTCTTTTATGACCTATAGCGTCGCAGAAGCAGTAGAGTGAACAAAAGCGATCTCGACGGTCCTTACAAGACGCAACCAGCATTTCCTGGTATCTGCGCAGTATGCTGAATCCTAGGGACGCAATTTAGTCATAGCCAAATAAACTAGAGACGCTCCAGAACACAGCAGAAGTACTGTGTGATAGTTTTGTCTGCCCAAATCATGGATTATAAATGACATCACCCAACGTATTCTCCAGACTCTTTCCTTTGCGCCACTGCGCGTCGTGCTGCCAAGGGAAGCACGATACAGCTTTCTACACTATGCACTGGACAACATTAATCGCAGTAATGGCACTCAGAGGCGCCTTCTTGCTTACGGTCTGCTTCTTTTGTTGGATGATTTGGGCGTTTTGTGGCTCTCTCCAGTCTACAGGTTCTGCCGAGAGCAGTTTTAGCGTCCTCCATGGCATCTTCCTCGTGATGTTTTGGGCCAGTAGCCAACATTTCGTAGAAGCACAGGTAAATTTTTCTACAGCTGATGCTCACTGGAACGAAAGCCAGGATGCTTTTCTAGACTATAAGGGAAAGTGTAACTCTTTGCTAAAATCCCTGAAAACCGTTGTATCCATTGATGAGACAACGCGGCACAGCACTTTGAGGGACTTTCGGCCGTGAACAAGCTGCCTTGTGGAAACCATTGAGAGAGTTCATATGGAACATCATCACCGTGTGACCTCAGCACTGTTAGAAACACATGAAATATGTTCTCCACTGAAGTGGGTTGTTCTCTCTGCTTCCCAGACTAACTGCGCCCATGGAAAAGCACCGAAACAGCATTGATTTCATCTAGGAATGCCCTCTGCTCTGGCCAAACGCGACTGGAGCTGAATGCGCGCGAGATGCTAGGGCTGATCGTGTTCCTGCTCGGAACTGATCATACAAAAAAAGAGAGCGCCTACTCTGGATTTGACTTCGCTAGACTAAAAAGCTGTGGTTTCTCAAGAGACGATGGTGCCTACTTGAATTTCATATTGGCAGTGCAGGAAGCCGCTTGGAGCGACTCTGTCTGGAGATGCGGGAATGCAATGTTACGTCAGATGGGAGACATCGGAAAATTCAGAGCAATCCTACTAGAAACAAAAGAGTCAGGAGTTTTTTAGAGATGGGGATAAATAAACTTTCCCCGCGAGTGACAACTTGGAGGTCACCGACTCGCTTGAGTGTACAGACAGTTGTCCCATAGTGCGCGGTCCATCGTTGCATCCTGTCCACAAGTGTAGTTTTTCCATGCCATTTGGTCAGATTTTGACTTATCCTTGAGATCGCGCCGCGAAAGATCCTCCAGTACAAATTTGCCACACCATTTTCACAATGTTTGTGGGCGGCCCTGAGGATATCCCCATTGAGGGTGACGAGTTCGAGAAGTCTAGGCCAAGAGTCCTCTCCATTGCTGGATACAGTTTTCTCTCGCTGATCGCCCACTTCTTTGTTCAAGATGTAAGAAAACTTCCTCATTTGAGCCGTGAAGCCCCGTAACTGAAACGTTCGTGCTCAGGTCGGCGGAGCGTTGGCCATGGCCATCCTTGGCGGATTGTTGTACTACTATTGCAAGAAACCAACTCATCTCAGCATCACGCTGGTATTAGGCATGAGTAGGCAGATGCGACAATCAACTGAGCTAAGAACCCTCGACATGTACATCGGCTGCAGGCCTCGCGATCCTCTTTATGAGCGGCTTCATTTGGTTCAGTATCTTGCTGTCAACGCACCTTGTAAGTCATACAAAGCAATCTAGACCGAAAATAATACGCTTTACCATCCATCACCTACAGCAACTATGGCTCGCCGACACAGTGACGCAACTAGAGTAAGCCAGCATCCTACACATCCCTCAAAGCAACTGTACTCCCTATTGATTACAGGTTCATTCTGTATCTCCTCGACTTCGGCGCTTCTTCTCTTGCACTTTTCCAGCTTCAATATGTTTTCGACTCTCCAACATACCGTAGGAAAAGTCCACGACGCATTAAATTCATATCAGACTCTCCATGGAAATTACAGGCGGACCTCGGTCTTTCCTTCCTCGCTGGGCTGAATCCGCCGCCCGTGGCGAGGGTTGGAGAGGATGGTCACCCTTCCAGGTAAAGTCACTCTACACTAAATGGCGTGTTCATGCACCATGGACAAAAACGAGTAGGGCGAAGGGCAACGCCTCGGAGGATGGCAGTAAAACAAAAGCCAACTGCGCTCTGGAAAACGATGATCTAACGAGCTGGCATCCACTTATGAACACAAGCCAAGCCATGTTTTCAAGATTTCCTTGCGTGGCGAAGTGTTTCGCAAACAGACATGTAACTTTAATGGTTGTGTGTAACTCATTGAACAACATCTACAGGCACTTGAGTATGGTGCATCGTAGAGTTAAAAGCGTAGGACGTTTGCTGCTGCATCAATGCGGAATACCAGAGCCTCCAGCCATTCCTCCCCCAAATTTGCGCATTAACTTAGAAATAGCGTCTGCGACCTCTGGGTCATCCTTGTACTTTGCCATATTTCCTGGATTCGTCAAAATATCTTGGAACGCTGCCATCATCTGAAAAAAAAACAAACGGCAGCACGGTTCACTAGAAGAACTTTCTTCGTCAGATATCGTCCTAAATCAAACCACTTCCCCTTACCTTTGGATTGGAGAAAACCTGCTGGACATCAGGATCATTCACTGAACCCAGTAATCCCCCTGCAGAAAACAAGACAACTGACATCTCTTCCCTAGTCTCATTTCAAGCCTTCATACGCAAAAGCAGCTCTCAACTAACTCAGCGTACCTAGGCCTCCCATGCCACCTGGCATTCCACCGGGTATGCCGCCTGGCATTCCTCCGGGCATACTACCTGGCATTCCTCCTGGGGCTCCACCAGGATATCCTCCCGGCATTCCGCCCGGAAAGCCTCCAGGCATTCCACCCGGGAATCCTCCAGGAATACCACCTCGAAAATTCCAACAAAATACAATCGCGATAGTTCATGAAGCTCTCCATGTTCGAAGTAATCGGGTGCCTACAGGCCCTGCTCAGTTCTTCGAACTAACTCGATAAATTCAATACTTGCAGCGTTACGTGTTCGAGGCTGAAATTTCTCACTTGCTTCACGTTTTTTCTGTTCCTCGTACGCCTTTTGTGAATTGGCTCGTTGTTCACGTATCCGCTTCTCGCGTTCCTTCCTCTCCTTCTGAGAAATAGAATGGAGGCAGTTGCTCGTGTTTCTTGCATTATTCATCACCGTTAGCTACTAATACTCAACAGACCAGTGATCTCCAGCCTTACCTCTTCTTTCTTCCGTTGAACGGATCTTTCGTGTTCCTCAATTATCTTGTACTTTTGCTCGACAAGCTTTTGGATGTCCCAAATGTTTTCGTCATAGTCAATCTGCGAGTAGGAAACTCACCCCATACTCGCAACCGTAGCTCGCAGCGCGTATCTACCATGAAGTTGATAGCTGCGAAGCGTAAACCGCGAATCGCACCGCACCTTTTGCCCCATCTCTATGTCGCTGTGAGCTTGTTTCCAATTCCCAAGGTACCTGAATAGATGCAGGACATTCGCATAACCCGATCACGAGTCAGTGGCTAGAAACTCTTGGTGGGGCAAGTGCACGTAATACGCACTGCGCCGTGCTATTGCTTGCCTGTTGGAAGTTCCGCGAATTCTGTAAGCTCTTGCATTGTCTGGATTCAGTTTGAGAGCCTCGTCACAATCCCTGATTGCTGCTGCATATCTTTTCTGTTTAAACAGAACTTCAGCTCTGCGCGTGTATAGAAGTGCTGTAGGATTGCCAACAAGCAGTGCCGCTGTATACGATTCGACGGCCTTATTGAGGTCGCCTGCCTGAAAATGCTCAGGCCACAGTGTTTTGCCTCATGCGTCTGCCTGTCCGATTCTGAAGGTGGATTGCAGAATGCCCATTATCACTCTAGGCCGCACGTACTTCAAGTGCCTCTGCGGCTGCCTCCTTTGCTTTGGAAAGCTTTTCGTAATCATCATCTGTAAGCTCCTTTTCTCCCGCAGGTGCTAGGGCTGGGGGTGGTGTCGACTCGGGCGCGACAACCTCCTCATCATTCAGCGATTCCACCTGGAAAGATTCCTCTTCCGACTGAAAAAAGACAGCACACGTACTAAAAGCAATGACAACAACGCATAACATTCTGCAAAAAGGGAGCCCAGAAAGCTGAATAAGCCTGCAGACAGCTGCTAGTTCAGCGAATACACGCAGCCTGACACTTGACGAACTTCTTCCTTTGGTTCCTCTGCCGGAGGATCAGGAATTTTCGCGCCTAGTGACAAGAGATATTCTTTGAAGAAGGAGAGTTCTTGTTTGTGGAGAATGCTAGGATCGTTGCGTGCAAGCGTCACGAACGCCTCCAATTCAGCAACTGCACGAACGTCACAGCCACGCCGATAAGTGATGCCGCTACCACACATATTGTACGAACAACCCCAGTAGATATTGTTCATGAGAGCATCTTAAACAGTTGTTCTTGGCCAATGAGTCTCTCCATTGTGTCGGGCTCTATCCAGATCGCATGTACACGCCATTCGAAAAAGTCCGGCTTCCCGAAGCCATCAAGTGTAAGACAACCGCCAACCGTCCTTCTGTCGGCGCATTTTGCTTACGCTTCTCCTCCCCAAACAATGCCATTGTCTCGAACGAGCAGCGTCCTGGCGGAATGTGAGAAGGCTCGTTGTAGTGGAGCCGATGAGGCACACAGCATGGGAACACTTCCTGCTCTATGCTGCTAAAGCACCAGTTACTCTCTCAAGAAAAAGCACACAATGGATGGCACGAAGTTCCGTCCCCACGGAAGAAAGTGCTGTAGCTGCAAAACGCCTGAAGCGAGGTTGGGGCTTGGCCGCCACTGCAGCATAGCACCATCAAAATGCAGCAGCGTTTTCCCTACGTAGCCGAAAGGTTTTTGCATGTCCTTATAGGCCTGTACGAGGTGTTAGTATTGTCACACCAAATAACAACCCATCCTAGCGCCAGCAGAGACCACCAGCACACACAACCGCGTATTTGGAAGCAGGAAACGCTGCTGTGGTAACATTAAGTGAGCGTGAGAAGCAACAGTTGGAATGTTACGCAAAAATGGAGTTGGGCATATGATAACATCGTGAGACCTGAAGAAAACCGACTTCAGCACAAGGTGTCTCGGAGTGCAGGGTGGGCGTGATGGCTGTCTGCTGTTGGTTGTGTAGTAGGATGTTATGGTACGTTTTTCTGCTTTGAAACAACAAGAAGGTCTGTAGTTGTGCTCCTCTCACGTCTCGAGTTTGGGTTTGTCGTTAATCTCGGACGCACTCACAGCTTAGGGCTCGAGGAGAGCCTTGTACAGATACCACAAGATGTGGTTGGAACACGGCTGCCAGGCGCGTTTTTGGCATATATATTATACACCACGTGCTTATGCCGCAGTGAGAGTTTCACTGTGGCTACCTCCAGTGAGCTGTAGCTAGTCAAGTCTGCCACGCAGCAACGGGAGATGGTCCATCTGTCGCAGGGGCTGCGTTAGATAACAGAGCGCTACAACCGCCTTCAACTAGCAATCACAGTGCCTCGCATATCACCGATAAAAACAGTAGTCGCTTTTTTGATGGCGTTGCTTGTGTAGTGCTCCTCCCCAGTCACGGTAACAGGGTGCAGTTAATGCTGCGCGCGGCACTAGTCTAGCAATTACAAGGGTTTCCACGGTTCTGTTGTGTCTGTATGTGAGGAGGCGAAGTGTAACAAACGTAGTTGACCCAAATCGTATATAGTGGAAAGAGACAAAACACGCAGTGCGGAGCACTGCAAGTTCGAAAGCAGATCAGAGGGGTTCTCAGCTCGTAGGTTTATCGTTAGTAGGCAAAAGGCAGAGACCGTAACAAGCAGTAGCGAAACCAGAGGCAAAATATGCATAGAGACAAAGAAAACGGCCCTCTTTCTGTTCTAATTTTCGCTGGCGAGGAGCGCAAACACCAGTTGTTTTTGATGGGAAGTAAAAGTACCATCCACTCCGTTTTGGAGGTGTTCCTCTTCTTCGCCGCCTTTTCACTAAGTAGGTGAACTTTAGAAATTGGAATATCTGACGCGAAGAAGACTGCTGAAATATCAGCTGCCAGTTACCTCCTGAAGGTGTTTGTAGCAGTGTAAATTGCAATCCTCGCTCGAGCAAAGCTGTATTTGCTAGGGCCAATGATAAACTGATCACCAATTGGTCAATCCCCTGCCTGATCACCTCATGTTTTGGGTGCGGTTGCTGCAGCAGCAGCTGCTGCTGCAGCAGCAACAGCTGCTGCCGCTGCTGTTTGCAGTTCAGTTGCCGTAGTGACTACCCGACAGCCAGTTCCTACCCAAAGCAGAGGGTCAAGCTGCTAAGAACGCACAGGTAACTTTTCGCTCGTCTCTGGCTCTGAGCGTGTTAGCCTGGCGTACACGGTAGCTCCTCGCTAGCATGCTGGAGTTTCATCTTCGTTCAAAGGTGATATGCTTGGGCCTGGAGAAGCTTTCTGTCCCGTGCCTAGACTACTGTGCCAATGAATTTTAGCGCCGTACTTTCACACCTCTTCAAGTTTATCACACGTTGTCTCGCAGCGCATCACCGTGATTAGTTTAGTCCACCCGCCACTCAGTATCATGTCCACAGGACAATCGTGGGCCCTCTTGCACCATACTTGCACACCTCCTCAGGCTTATCACGCGTTGTCTCGCTAGACATTACTATGTTTAGTTCAGTCCACCCGTCACCTTGTTCTACTTTGGTGAAGACCCACATTCATTACACAACACCATAGAGCTTGCATTGCCAGTTGAGGGTTGTTGTGTGATTCCAGATGGATCCATATCGAACAAATTTCGGCTCGGCTTGCTTACTAGTAATGCTTGATGCGAACTTATTAGGGAGGCCTTCGCTTATTGTCTCTTGTATTGAAAATTAATGTGTGACTCCACGCTTTTGGAGTAAATAGCGTCAGCAAGTAAAAAACAACGAGAGAATGCAAAGCAAGTGAAGCTGAGCAGTACTCACTGAACACCTCAGCGGACACCTGCCTGCGCCTATGGGACAGGCTGCTGGTGATGGTGGTGGTGCTGCTGCCCTGCCTGCCGGCTCTGCTGGGTCGCTCGCTTCTCCCTGGCAGCCTGTAGTAAGCGTTGTAGTCTGTGAGCATGCCTTCGCGCTGCATTGATTTGCTCTACTATGGGAGCACTCAGAGCCTTCGTCGCCGCCCCTGTGAAGCCTCCTGAGATGTCCTGTAGAGATGTAAGACAAAATCGATTTGAACAGATATACTCTGTTGCAGGAGGCAAAAACGGTGAAAACCATGCAGCCACTAAACGCTGCGCTCCACTCGACCGTACCCTACTTGTTTGCATTTATTCGCCTATCTGTTTTGTACAGGTGCTCCTATCTTTTGTTCTCTGTTTGTTTGTTTTCCTGTTTTTCTCTGTCAGTCACCAACTGCAGTCATAGCTGCTTCCCTAAGAAACAGGGCCTGCATGTGTGCTCTGCCCGTTAAGTCTCACATGCAAATGCCCCAAACGTTACATTCTCAATGTTGCGAAGGCACCCTTGTTGCGGAAGAGAGCTTACCAACGCACGAAACATTAAAGTAGCAAACAAACGCAATGCACTTGAAATACTCCTCAGCAAGAAGCCAAGAGACAACGATCAACAGTCACAGGCAGCAGCCAACTCTCCAGTTCGCTCGATCTGCACATGCCCTCGGGGGAAAAACGCGCTGCTCACAGGGGAGCCATTCCCTCAGCTCACTTGGGAATTCTCAAGCTCGGCTTTAATGGAATCCAGGGCCTGTATGAGTCGTATCCGTTTCTTGTCCTATAAATAACAAGCGACAAAGATGAGGTACATTCGAATGATACCGGGTTACGACGAGGAGATAAGGCCTCTCAATTCCGAATCTGCCCTACGTGGCCAGTTATTAACAAGCCATAGCTGCGCCATCGCCAGTGAAGCAGCTTCTGCCAAAGCAACAAAAGGTAAGGCAGAGCTGGGGTTGTTTCGATGTGTAGAGTCACCTCAGGCAAAGTTGTGTTGTAAAAGTGACGCAGCAACTCGCCTACGCGCGCCTGCTGAGCTCGCACAGCGTTGACTGTCGCAGCCTCGTAGTCAACTGAGCCAACATACCCCAAAATCAATGCAAGCGCATGCACAAAAACAAGCAAAGACAAACCGGCAAAAGCATACACAAAAGCCACTGAAAAGAACAAAATAAGCAAAGCAAACTGAAGAGCCAATCAAATAAAGGGAGGTATAGACTGAGTGCACGGTGGGCGCTCTTAAAGAGCTATCAACACACGCACAGCCACCAGCAGCAAGCCAAGTGAAGGTCATGGAAACATTCACGCGATGCATATTGCCTGCGTATCTGCAGCAGCACAGCTATACGCCTCACACTCGCACCAACGGCGGCACAGTCAGCAAATGAGCAAATGAGCCCAAACTTCTATCATATTTGCTCTAAGACGCTGTAATGTGCTGCCGAATGGATCATCTGAGGAAGTATATCGCAAAATGCACTGCTCAGTTCACTGGCTACTACGTTTGTTCCTTCCAAAAGCCAGCGAGTGTGGTGCTGCAACCCTATAAGGTAACAGAGGAGTCACATGAACAAAGGCACGCGGGTGAAGAGCGTTGCTGCCTTACGAGTGGCCACCTGCGCCGCTTTATCCTTTTGACATAATTTGGTATTGAAGACGAACATGTAGCGGCCAGTCTCGTATACCGCGGCCACCTCTTCAGCCTGCAAACAGGAGCAGTGTCCATTCCATGGTATTTCAGCCAAGCGCCAGGAAGGTGAAGTACACCTCGGCCTGACTGTGAGCATCAGCCAGGCCTGCTCCTTGATGACGTCTGCTGCCTTTTGAGGACCAAAGCTCTAGACAGTCTCTTGATATGTTCCAGTAAAGGCAAGAGAGCAGCCATTAGACCCGCGCCGAAGGCAAGAGTCAACTACCCGCACAGGCTCGTCTCTGTTGCTCGCCTACCGTTTGCCGTGCTCCTTTGTTTCGATCTTTCGCCTTTTCTCGTTGCATCCAAAGCCACGCTTCAGCGGCTGCCACCTCCTGTGCCACTTGCAGACATCTGGTTCCCTTCTCTATTGCTGCGCCTTCTGCAGCCCTATCACTTTTGGCTAAGCTGTGAAGTGGTATTCCAGCTGTGGTCGGAGGCCTTGCTGAAGTTTCAAAAGAACGCGAAGGAGAACTCCGCCACACTCGAGCCCCTGCAGCGTACAACTGCCGCCTGCTGACCTCAAGAGTTTGATGCTTGGCGGGCACAGCATCCTGCAGGGGCAGCGGACTCCACAGTTAGGTGGTACTCGTGTAAGACTTTGGACTCTGGGCAAAACGCCATTGCACAGATAGTTTGGGTCTTGAGTCTCAAGGTAAGAACACGGCACTCAACTTACTTCCAGCTCCTCGAGCCGCAAAGACGCCAATAGCGGCGCCTCCTCTTCCAATACTCCGCAGCCAACTGAATCGGCAAATAATAGCAGTAATATGTACCAGCAGGTCTGTATTGATCTCAAACAGCGCACGTCTGGTACCTTAAGGCTGACCAACAGCAGTGGCTTACTGGTGGCCGCATCCTTAGGATCAGCTGCTGGAACTCCTGTACCAGTGGTGACACCACGCTGCCTCCTCAGGAGTTCGTCTTGTTGTACCAGCAGCTGCAGTTTCTCCTGATAACCTGCCTTATCGCCGGTGACAGCCGCAGCTGCTGCCGGCTGCAGAAGCTGCTGCAGCAAGAGCCGTTGCGAGTGTTTGTTGAAGCGCCCAACGAGGCTGCCACTGCCAACAGCAGCAACGGCAGATGCCGGAGCAGAAGCTCCTCCCATAGGTATGGGCTTCTCGGCGAGATCACCAGCTAAGGACGAGAGACCGTCAGGCAGTCCAAAGCCCCTGACCCTCAAGTCCGCGTCAGACAGGAGAGTCCGATCAACTCCAGGAAGGCTTAGGGCATCCCGCGATGAGACAAGCTGAACCCAACACATGCGTACACTGGACACGCATTCATTTGTTATGCCATTCGCGCATTCATAAACTATAATGAGAGCAATATACATAAGAATATGAAATATAATAAATAATTCTTTATACAAATCGACATTTGGATCCGCACAAACAAGCATTCTTTTGTGTAGAACCACACCAGAATCAAGATATGGAAGCTCACGCAAACATCCTGCATGGGCAAACAGGCGCAAATGCGTCCTTCAGGCCTGTTTGCAGCTACAAAAAATTTGTTTTAAACTGCGTCTATAGGCTTTTCTTTGCCAGTCCTTGGACTGGTCCGGGGGCGAAACAGCCGAATAGCACACTGATGTCCGTCACCCCAAAAACATCGGCGAGCGCAAAAGCAGCACGCCCTCCGCAGCGAAGCAATAGCAGTAACGAAAGCCAAAACGACACAAGCAATAGCACCGGAAGTAGCACAATACTAGAGAAAGCACCAAAGCATCAAAAACAGCAGCAGCCGCACTGCTTTATTAGCAGTACACTGTGGCACAAAATATGTATCAACCGCAGTGGCTGCAGCACCGTTTCTTTCAGAAATGACGCAATTAGAGCAGAGGCTTCTTCGTCGTCCATTTCTTTTTGACGCTCTGGCAAACCAATGCCAGACTGGAAATAGCGGGACCGAAACACGCGTCCCCAAAAACGTTCCGCTGTCATACGGCCTGTGCAGCAGCAGCGACAAACAGTTATTTCATACTTCATGAGATACAAAGAAATACTCAACGTGCTTGCAGGAGTGGCCAACGTTTCCGTTCCAGCTGATGAAGCAACGAGGGGGTGTAAGCTGACTGCACACCCAGCGCCAATGGAAGACACATCAGATGCAGCAGCAGCAGCAGCAGCATACCCGTGCTGACTAGTGCCTCGTAAGCCAACCTTATGGTTGTGTCCTCCTCAAGTATTTGTTTGAGCATTTGTTCGCTACAGTCTACCACCAACTCCGCCGACGCGCCTCCCCCTTGGCCCGCTTGCTGGCCCTCTAGATGGTAGTGAGGGGGCCGAGACAAAAACGAAGCAGATACCCCCTCAGCTGCAGCCGCAACAGAACGAGGAGCAAAGCGCACCAGCAATACTTCCTCCCCCACTAAACCAGCCACAGCGCTGTGGTCACGCACCCCACAACAGCTGATGGGCCACAAGCCGTAGGACTTTTGGCTTAGGATTCGGCCTTGAAGGTTTACGCTTCGTGGCTCACGAGCAGGCTGCGGTTTCAGCGCTTGCAGATGCTGTTCATGCAGCTTCCAGAATTCACTCGGTGAGAGCCCCTTCTGGCTGTTGCCTGAAGGAAGCCCCTCGGGAGGCCCCACAAGCGTCTGGTACAGTTCTCGCATTTCCGGATCCTGCTGCAGCAGCTGCTGCTGAAGTTGCTGCAGCTGCTCGGCCTCTTGCTGCCGCTGCTTCTGCAGGAGCTTTTCCAAGTTTGGAGGCTCGATTGCAGAAGCCACTGGGGCTGAAGTCGCTGACGCCATAGAGGCTGATGCTGCACTGCACCGAAACCAGAACCAGCAGCCTCCGAATTGGTAACAGCACATGCAGTAAGAACACCAACACTAGAAACACAAATAAGTGTTGGCGCACAGCATCTGGACAGTTAGGCGCTCCAAGCCAGTGCATGTGAGAGCTTCAGGCCCGTGCCTCATCAAACATACCTAGGACGGCTTCCAGCTGCTGCTGCTGCATTCACTGTTCCTTTATCACGAGCCGAACTCTGCTGAGCGCCACCCAATGAGTGCTTGGCAGCAGCAGCTTCCTTCCGTGCTGGCGCCCGTCCGTCAGTCATGTCTTCTGGAATCCGTTGCTGATCGTCCTGCTCTGCCTCCTGCTGTTTTTTCTCTTGTAAACGCTGTTTTAACAGCTCTTGCTGCTGCAGGAGCGCCGGCGCAACCCGCAGCACAGCGTTTGGGGGCAGCTGCAGCAGCTGCAGCAGCAATGGAACTTCCAACGGGCACGCCTGCAACAAAATCAATAACAATGGCAAAGGCAGCAGCACTTGGCAGCGACGCATTGCTCCCATCCAAACGTTTCGACACAGTCTGGTAGCACCAGGAGCCCCCGCATCAGCCCAACATAAGTGCTACAAGCGCAAGCAACAGGGGGATCAACAGTGGCAGCGGCAACGAATATTCCGCCAGCAGCAGCCCCTGCAGGACCAGAACCTGCAGCAACAAGACTTGTAGCAGCAGTGCGAGAGCAGCAGCAGTTGCAACGTCCGCGTCTTACCAGGTTACTGCTGGACTGAACTGTTCGCGCAGCAGAGGCGAGCGTCTGGAGGGAACGGCAGCAAAGATCCATCTTGTCCCTCACTCCCATGAAGTCAACGACGACAGATTGCGCTAACGAAACACCATCTGCATTTATTGCAACTGTTGCTGTTGGGGCTGCCGCTGCTGCTGCCGTAGGAGCCACGTATGAAATGCGGGCCTGCGGATGCATGTCATACAGGAGCTCACTAAAAGCTTACTGCCGCTACGGCTATCAAAGCAACGCTATGCACAGACGGAAAAAAACTGTTGGAAAAAGCGTTGGCCAGAGCAGCTGAAACGGCAGCAGCAACAACAAGAGCAAGACCTTTGCAGCTTTCTTGGATCGCTCTGTTGAGGTCCAACAGACGAGAGGGAACTGCAGCAAAACCTCCCAGAAAACTTTGTTACCACTGCCGTCCTTCTCTTCGCCTCCGTTGCTGCAGCTGCTGTTGCTGCTGCTCTTCTTTGAAGCAAAAAGGAATCGCTTAGCAGTCAGCACTACGACCCCCTGATTGCCTAGCACAGTGACTGGCTCAAATCGCCAACAGCAGGCCTCTTGCTGTGGAGGCCTCTGCAGCTCCTGGCACTGACTCTGAGGCTCTGCCATTGTTGGAAACAATCAGCATGCCTCAGCAGTAGTGCCCTCGCTGCTGCTGCCAAGCTGTGGCAGTTGTTCCGCTGACTGCTGCACCTGTGAGCAGCGTGTTCATGAAGGGGAAATAAAAAATGCTGCACCTGTATCCTACTGGAGATGACGTTAGCGGTGTTGCAGTCGATGGCCGCTCTGGTGGTGTCGATGTTGCTGCGGGTGTTCGTTGAGCTCTTGCCAGTGGTGTTGTGATTTTTGCTGCTCCTTGACCCAAGTTTAGTAGTACTCAGCTGCAGAGGTTCCTATGGTAGGGTATAGCTAGTAGAAACACAAGACGTGGTTTCGAGCCGCCACTACAGCTGCTACTGCCGGAAGCCTCATGACCTAAATCATTTCTATACACAAGCTCCTGCTGAAAGCCGCCAATAGATTGTGTCGCCGTTTGGGTCTGCTGCTGCTATTGGTGATGCTGCTATGGTTTTCCAGCACACGGCAGTACGGGTACTTTAGAAGACCGTGGGGCCCACTGGGGCCCCCGTGGCTGCTGCTCCAACTGTAAGTATGCAACCAAGTTGTCCCTTTACCGCTTTTAAAAGTTGTTCCGCACTATTTAATACATGAATCAGCCAACAAAAATGTTAGAAGAGCTCTCATAAGCGCATGATGTGAGCACAGCGCAGCCGAGCTGTATAGGGAGCCACGGGGTGCCGATTTTCCTCCCAGTTATCTGTATGCATCAATGCACAAGTGTAGAGGAGTCTTCCAGATAGGTTCAAAAGGCTCTAAGGAAAAACAGCAGCACTGTCAACAGCGGCTTCCGTGGTCTCCGCTGGAGCTGCGGCAATGGCGGCTCACCAAGGAGCAGCAACAGAGGGAGCGCCAGCATCCACACAAGCTTCTGCAGCGACCATTTTCTTTTCGCTTGCCCGCAGGAGCCTGTGGTATCACAGTGGCAACGACTGTTGTCCGGCCACACTATGACGCGAAGTGCTCCGCAGTTCCCAAAGCAGTATGATGGACACCCAAGGGGAAAATAAGAGCAGTACCAACGGCAGCATTCGCGGTGTGATCGGTAGCAGTAGGGACGTTGTTTGCCTGTTTCTGGCGGAGAAGTTTCCTACCCCTTACATTGTTCTCTCCCCGTGTTGCTGCTCCTGCTGCTGTTCGCATGGCTTCGGCAGGTCCCCCTCCACGGTTTTTTACATGCGCTCTCTCCTTTCACCAGACCAAGCGGCAGAAGCAGCATCAACAGCAGCAGTAGCACCAGCATAAGGTGCTGCTGCTATTGCAGAAATGCAGGATATTTGCGTGCCTGTGGCTCCACGCTGCGTCAGTATTGTGAGGGGTCCACAGGCCTTTTACTCGGCTGTCCTGGCCTTAGTTGGCTTGGCTCGCCGTCGACTGCTACTCTCGGCTCTTTATATTGGAACAGGACACAAGGAACGATTCATGCTACAGTTGCTGCAGCAACGAATACAGCAGCAGCAGCTGTCGCAGCAGAAGCTGGAGGTAAGGCTGTTGCTTGACTTCCTGCGTACTACGAGGCCAGACCCGGCAGGAGATTGCCCAGCGTCTCTGCTTCAGCCATTGCTGTCTGAATACCCCGTAGGGTCTTTGAACAGCACATGCCAAGTCTCCCTCTTCTGCAACCCCCTAACATGCAGCAACAGCAGCAGTACCAACAGCCTCAGCAGGCTGCAGGCATTGCTGCGGAAATTTCTTTTTAGGGCTTTGGGTCATAGAGCACGTGAGGCATTGGGTACACAGCACATGAAGTGTTTAGTGAGCGATGACCTGATTTTGCTAACGGGGGCCAATCTGAGCGATGAATACTTCGGGAAGAGAATGGACAGATGTTTTGTCCTGAGGTCTAGGGCCTTGGCAGATGCAGCGGACAGCCTAATTGCTGCTGCAGAGGCGCACTCCTTCAAGCTTTTGCCGTCGAAACAGTACAGCCAGCAATGGCACCGACAGCATGAGCCTACTCAAGGAAGAATTGTACAAATGGGGAAAGCCGTCTGTTGGTGGCCGCCAACGAACCCTTCAGAGCCACCGCAAACGAATCCCGAAATGTTCTGCAGCAGCCTGGCGAACTCACTTGCAGCAGCCCTCACAAGCACAAACGGCAGTGCCAGCACCAGAAACAACAGTTGCAGCAGCAGCAAAAGCCTGGAGAATGTAAATGGCAGTAACAACTTCCGCAACAACGATGAAAGCAACAGCAAGGGGTGCAGCAGTAACTACATTGGATACAGCAGGCTCAACAGTAATACCGGTATCCTGGATCATGAGATGTGCTTGGTGTCTCTGACGGTGCAGGCCGGCTTTGTGCGCCCACCTCTCAGAGGCCAAGAATGGATGCTTGAGAGAATTTATGGCATCGCCGCAAACTCGCTTGCTGCTCTGGGTGGTTCAGAGGCACCAACAGCGGCAGACGGCGAATATGTCTCAGCACCTGGAGGTCTTCAAGTGGCCCTTGCTTCCCCTTACTTGAACTTCCCAGTTGCCTTCTTGCGTAGGCTGCAACAGCTGCTGCAGCAGATGCGTCTTTCCTCTTCCTGTGCAGTCCCAGCTCGTGGCAGCTACAACAACAGCACCGACAGAAGTGCGTGCAGCAACGAGTCTCGTCTTGTGGTTGTAACGGCCTCGCCGCAGGCTAATAGTTTCTTTAACTCGCGTGGCATTTCTTACTGGATACCGCCAGCCTACGCAGTTGCTGCCTATGAAACTGCTGTGGCTCTGGAGGACTCTATCCAAGCATCGGGAGCAACGGATCCGAATGCTTTTTCAGATGTGAAAATGCAGCATGGCCCGGACGACAATCTGCTGCTTCTCGAGTTCGCGCGGCCAGGGTGGACATATCACGCAAAGGGCATTTGGATCTCACCAACTACCTCAGCAGCTGCCAACAAGAGCACCACCGGGACAAAGGGGAACGGTAGCAATGGGCCAGCAGGCGGAACGTGCCTAGGCCTAGGCACCACTCGCGCGTTGCTGCAGAGCACTCTCAGCGGCCCTCCTGCCAGCCTTAACAAAAGCAGCAACTGCGACAAGGGTTGGGCTGCAGTGTGTTTGCTGGGCAGCTCGAACTTGAGCGTGCGCTCGAGTGAACGTGACTTGGAGCTGCTGTGCATGCTCAGGACACGCGACAAGCAGCTGCAGAGGCTGCAACAGCAGGAGCTTACTCAGCTGCTATTGCCTTTCTGTCATCCCCTAGACAGGGCAAAACTCATCAAGAGATTTCCTCCGTGGCTGCACTTCGCTGTTCAGCGCCTCGGGCTCAATTCTTTTCTGTGACTGCTGCTCCGGCTCAGTTGATTCAGTCTCCTTGGCGGCTCCCTTGTTGCTGTTAGTGTGGGCGCTTTTTTTTGCAAGGTCCAACGGCCGCTGCTACAAGTGTTGCCGATGGTGCTGCGTGAGCAGCACCTGCAGCTTCACTATGTTGCAGATGCGGCTACAGTTTCTGTTGCGGCTGCCGTTATTTTCGGTGCTGCGTCCGCGCCTGCCACTGCTGTCCCGTATCTGCTTTTGTTCTGGCTACTACTGCTCCCCTTTTCATGTGATGCTGTAGCTGCCTGTAGCCTTTGTAACTGTACGGCTAAAAGTCGTGAACCGTTGGAGTTGAACGCGTCATCAACGTGAAATAGAGTAGTACAAACGGACAAGCAGAGAGCGACAGTTCAGAAGCAGAAAGAACTGAGAGGGGAAGAGATCAAGTTGACAGAAACGCGGGAACAGTGATACGGACGTACCCATCCTACAGGGGCAGAGACAAAACGAAAGTTTAGTCTTTCGTCGTGCTCAAAAAGTCACTTTTGGCGGCTTTTGCGAGACTGTGATGATGGGGACAGCTGAAGTTGCCGCTGTTCTTGCTTCAAAGGTTCTGAGTCGGTCCTCGAGTAATTTGATAAACTGCTTGCTGAAGCCTTTGGCACACTTCTCTTTGTGCACCTAGCTGCTGGTGTTGCTTGTGCCACTGCCGGGCTGCTCCGGCGGCTGTCTGCAGGTGAAGTGCTGCTACTGCTGATGCTGCTGTTTCCGCTACCGCTGCTTTCTGTTGAAGGGGAGCTGCTGAGGCATCGACGCTGGCCCTGCAAAGCCTTAAGCCTCTCGGGCTGCACCAGACGCACCAATGGACAAATATATAAGGATATATCTATATGCGTATTTACACTGTGTATATCGATACACATATATGAAGATCGCGTGCATTTGTACACACTTTGCACACGACTGTGCGTGGTGCATTTGTATTGTAGTGTATGTGCAATTGTATCGGCACACGTATTATCGATAAATTTAGGAAGAATGCAGTTGCTGTTTCTCACTGGCACGACTTCTCTCATGAAAACGTCCGGGTGCTGAGGGTCCTCCAGCTTAGCGAAATTCACAACGCGGCATGCGCGCACAGGATTGCGACGCAGGGGCTGCGCGTAGGGCTTTTGCTGCTGTTGCCGCTGGGGCAAACGGCAATTTTGCTTATCCTGCGGCTGGCACTTCGTGGCGATCATATGGCTGGGGTTGAACTGCGCTGCAGCGGCATCGCTTACATCGAACGTATGAGCAGAAGGAGAAACAGCAGCACTCAGAGCAATAGCCGGAGCGTTGGGATCAGAAGGAACTGTAGCATCAAGGCGGTCCTCGTCGGAGTCGGTGCTGCTGCTGGATGTTGGCGGCAGATAGGACGGGTCCGCTACCTCTCCCTCGTCTTCATTGTTTTTCCTTGATTGCTCACGTAGACCCTCAGGAAGTACAGTGCAGCGTCCTTTCTGCTGCCAAATAAATCTGCGGCTGGAACTGCTGCTCTCACGTTTCAAGGGTGAGCTGGCAGATCGGGCAGTAGGGAAGAACGATCCCTCTGCCTCCCTGGTGCTTCTACTGTTGTCACTACCGGCCTTGCTACTTGCTGGGGGGTGCGCAGTCGCTCTCACAAAGCTCCAGTAGTTCAGCGTAGAGGCCAGCCGCCTCCAAGCTGCTGCCGTTGCCCATGAAGCGACGGACACTGCACCGGTGAAGGCCGCTGCAAGGACAGGAGCTATCAGCCGAGCTGTCCAGAGTAGCGAGCGGCGTGCCAAGCTCTGCCGCGGCTGCCGCAGTTGCTGCTGCTGCTGGTGTTGCTGCAGCAATTGCCTCTCGTGTCTTTCTTGCAGCTGAATCCTCTGCATTTCTTCATCTTTGGATGTAACACGCTGAAGCAGCTGTTGCAGCAGCTGCTGCACCTCTTGCATTCTTGGGTCGCCTGCTGCTTGCACTTCATGCAGCTCCTCGCGGACCCAACACACTTGCTGCTGCAGTTGCTGCAGCTGCTGCTGCATTTGCTGCTCTGGGCTGGTGTAGTGTAAAAAGCAATGCAGCCACACCCAGCAACATGTAACCAAGCAAGTCCAGCGCACGAAAGACACCCCATAAGCAGCAGCAGCAGCAGCAAGAGCCGTAGCAACGAAAACACCTGCGTCGCTGGCGACTTCCTTCAAGAAGTTCAGCGTGCCACTGCTACCTTCCTCCGTTGCTCCAGGAGATCGTGGCTTGTACTGCGGCTTCGTCAATTGGCTGAGGAGAGGAGATATGCCCCCGTGGTGCAGTGCCATCTCAGCAGCAGCAGCGGCCGACAGGATGCCGAGCACCCCCAGCCGCGCACCAGAAACCCTGCGATTAGAAGTGAGGAGAAGAGCGGCAGCAGCAGCAACAAGATAAAGAGCAACTGTTTCAGTACCTCCAAGCCACTCACCCACAGCCTTGTGAAAGGCCTTCAGCTGCTCCAGCACCGCGAAGGAATCCTCTAACCCTTGCTGCAACTGCTGCAGGAGTTGCTGCATATAGTTTCCTCCTTGCAGCTGCTGCAGTTGTAGTTGTTCTTGCAGCTTCCCCATATGTTCCAGATGCTGCAGCTGTTGCTGCATGCTAGCAGTGGCTGCGGCGGAGGCAGCAGAGAGACGTACAGTAGCCTCTTCAGTCTTCCGCTGTCTCTCTGCACTGTGTAGAAAGAAGCAGATATTGTCTGCGGAAATCAGCAACAGCGGCGGCAACAAAAACGAAAGTGACGGAAGCAGCAGCAACGGCAGTAGTGGCGACCACAACAGCAGCAGCAGATCAAGGAACAACGGGGACAAAGCCTGGGTCCCCACCAGGCGCCCCCGAAGCACTGATGCATAGTTGAACTTTTCATCGCACGAACTTCACAGAATCAGCCATCCCAGCACCACCAAAAGGCGAAGCAAGCACCGGCGCTCACGGAAGCAACTGCGGCAGGAACTGACCAATGTGATTTATTTGCTCCCTCACAAGAGCAAAAGTTCCGAAATCCATTTTGCTATGCTGCTGACAAGCAGCAGTCTGCCGGCGAGTCAGTGCAATGCACCGCCGGTAAAGTTGCTGCTGCTGTTGCTGCAGCTGGCGCAGTTGCACCAGAGGCGAGACTGCTTCTGCATGCATCAAGTCCATTGTCTTGGCAGCTTTGCCTGGATATCTTGTTGATTCACTCTCGAGCTCCTCTGTGGAATCATCGAGGCCTTCGTCTTGATCATGATTCTGCTGTTGCTGCTTAGCGTATGCCTCGCTCCAGTCTCCTTCCAGATTCTGCTGCATCTGCTGAAATTGCAACAGTTGCTGCGCCTGCTGCACTTGCTGCAGCACGCTGTTGAGCTTGACGCATGGATGGCTAACTGCAGCATCTACTGCAGCAGCACCTTTAGCGGTGCCAGCTTGTCCGTGCAGACCTGTGGAAAATCGAGGATGCCAAAAAAAGGCAGCAGAACAAGGGAATGAGGGGAATCGAGACAAGACCGCGCCTGTTTATTACATGGCGCCTGCTCTTTCCCGTGAGATGCAGGCATTACCAAGAAATATGCGAAGGGATAACGTAAACAGCATCTCAGACTCAGACAGCCATGAGATAAGAATGGCAACACGTGCGACACACCTATCCAGTCCAAAGGAACTTCATGTGGGAAGAGATAACAGCCCTCAGCAGGCCCCGGGAAGGGGCGACCGCTTCGGGCATAAATACACCTCATCCTAGTCAAGGCAATCAGTTCTCTGAAGGCTTCTCCCCTGCTGCTACATGCATCTTCATGTGTCTGTTGCTGCAGCAAGAGAAGCTGCTCGCTGACTTGCTGCCAGCAACTGCTGGCAGCACCTTCCTCTGATGACTCTTTCAACAACTGACTGTACGCAGCAGCACCGAGACGGATTGCTTCTTCGCCATCTTCTGCATCGAAAGCTGCTGTTCTTGCCCCCAATGCTGCTGCCACAGTTGGTGCAGCTGCTTTTCTCAGGTCCAAAGATAGGGCTGCAGCTGCCAGTAGCAGCTGCGACGGCAGCAGCAGCTGCAACAGTAGCAGTGGCGGCAGCGACAGCAGGTAGTGCTGCATTGCTCATCCTATCCGCATCAGGAATCATTTCAAAGATTTGTATTTCATTATCATTCTTATATCGGTCACTGAGGACCTGAAATGTTGCTTCCCCTGAATCCTTGCGCTTCTTTTCCGGCGTGTGAAGTGCTGAGGAAAGGGCCACCTGAGCGCCGCCGCCCCACTGTGAAACAATATTGAGGCTCGTGCATGAGTATCCGTATTTCTGAAGCTGTGTGGCGTTTTATTTTTGTTTTTATCCTTTTCTCACTGCGGTTGCCTTCAATGCACGCTTTCTTTTTCCGAGTGAAGGTCACTGGGGCTCGGCAGCCCCGGAGCCATGCCAGATAGAGAGCGCATGTGTGAATTACCCACAACTAACGCCCAGACAACACAAAAAAGTGCTGAAAAGTGGATTAAATTTTTAGTCATGAGAAAGAGTAGTTTTCCATTTTGTCGCTCAGCTTCTCGCTTTCTTGTGCACCTACAGTTTCATTGTTGACAGACCAGACCAATGGTGACGCTACCGGTCTTCGTGGGACCTCAAACAAATGGGAAAAATAAGTGAATTTTCTGTTGGAATTGCAGACCTAACTTATCATATAAATTTTATGTTTAACTCCGTCTTCACGTAATTAGCATCGCACTGAACTTCCCTAGGTCCTCTGATTGTTCAACACAAATCGGCGTGCAGGCTCAAAACGTTAGCACCAGAAGGTAATTGAAGCATGTAAGTCCCCAAACAGAGCACGGAGAATAACTCATTTCATTGTTTTTAAACCATGTGTGCGGCGGAACCCATACAATTCTGGCGTGTATCTCAGTGCCGGTGATACCTTGCCTGTTTCTCCCCCTCTCCTCTCCATCAATTGAAATTGTTTAATGAGGAAAAGGCACTGCATGGTGCTTGTAACCGTAAAACTGAATGGGACTCTTGATTATTGCTGG